CCGATCAAACCGTCGCGCGATCCTATTACAAACCTGGTAAAATGTTATCTAATGCTCGGTGGGAACGAACGTTGCCCAAAGGGTGACGCATTCGGAAAGCGAAGCCTTTCGAGCGAGGCGTGAACTGCCGAGTAAAAATAGAGACAGCATTATTTTCTGTAAGCCTATCTTGGCTTCTTCAGGAGCGTAACGTCCGTATACACACATACGGCAGTGCGTACAGCTGAAATCTGGAAAAAAATCTATTTTATTATTTCCTGAAAGTATTTTTATTTATCATTAAATCGGAGTGACTGATAAATTTTTCGCATTATATTGGTGTCTTTGTGTTAGCATTTCCATTATCTTTTTTATTAAGTGGAGTGAAATGGATCCGAATGTGAAGCCACAGATCTCGGTTGATACTTTTGACCATGACAACCCCCAATTCTATCCCGGAGTATATGTAGCTCTCATAAAGTTGTTGATTTATCCTGTTTCAACATGCACAACTGAGCGTTGCTCCAGCATAATGAAGAAACCGAAACCTCCCTTACGAAGTAGCGCTAAGGGAGACAAGAGATTGAGCTCTCTTGCAATTCTGCCCTATGCAAGCACAAAAGCATTAATTGATAAAGTTGGCGTAGTAAGGGTGAAGGGTACATGTCTCGCCCATTGCTTGTAAACTCCTTGATGGCGTCACTGTTTTACCCTTTTTTCGGTATTGAAACACTGTACCTTACCCTAAGTTGTGTTTATATAACAGGCGAGCCCGTTTACCGAGTTCTTGGCTGGTTGCTATCTCAGAAAGCCAGCCCGCCTTCCCATATAAACCATGTTAACCATATAAACCATATTTTATTACCTTAATAAAAAATAATAACGGTATTTTCCTCCGTTTTTATTTACCAAAAATGTCCTGCGAAAAACGCTGGAGACTGAATTTCCGAGACCCTAATAGACCCCAGACTCTCCTAGAGTGGGGCGCCTTAATATATAGTGGTCACTAATTATAGTGGTCACTAATGTTCCTTTGACTCCCAATTTCAGTTCTGCTAAGATAAGAGACTAAGGTCCTTTTCAAGTAATAAACTTAGATTAGATTTAGTAAAACCCACTTTTTATCGTGCTGATTCGGCCGTTGCCTTGACTACTACTGACTTCTACTGATTCGGCCTACGCCTTGATGTCTCAGTCAATTAACAAAATAAGATCTAAAAATTGAATAAATAAAAATAGTAGTTTAAATTTTAAAATGTACTATACAACATTACAATGACAAAACTATTAAAATGTTACATACTAAAATACAAAATTACAAACCCTACAAGATAGATACTAAGTTATGCTGATAAAAATGCTGAACTAAATAAGTGTGTTTTGAGCTTTACTTTAAAACATAGTTAGGAGAGGAGACTGGTAATGAAAGCCGGCAAACATCAACTGATGACCGTGCACAATCCTTTGGTTTTCGTCACAAATTGTGACTGAATAAATTAATGCGATGTCCCTACCGGTCACTCGAAGTTCAAAATGATAGGAATGCTATTGAACGTTGTGCACAATCCGAGGTCGAAAAAAGCTGACAAAAACATATAACAATGACGTCCGTCGGGCTTCATAACCATTTCCACTTTATTAGCTATGTTTAAAAGCATCAACAGACTTTGGCACACCTAACATCAAATGGCAAAGCATTTCAGAGCATTGGAACGGTGCAAGTGAAGGACCTATCGCCAAGTGTTACTTTGGATTCGAAACTAGGATAACTATGCGTGGATTCATTTGCAGCATACACGTATGGCTGTCGCATTTGCCCGCTGGTTTTTTAAAGCCTAAACACAACAATAAAAAATTTCAGCGGGCAAATGCGACAGCCATACGGGTATGTTGCAAACGAATCTAAGGGCCCCAAGGGCCTTTTTTTACATGGAGGCGGGGGACCCCAGGTTGGTGAGATAACCCGCTTAGTTTGGGTAACCCACCTGTTCATATAATCTCTCATATGGCCACCCCACCTGTCATATAAATGATGATGAAATTAAAATGAGAGATTATATGGACAGGCGATTACCCCACCTAAGCGCGTTACCTCACCTGCCTGGGCCCAGTTGCTCGAAGCTTGGTTAGCGTTAACCAGCGTTTAATACCTTGACAACGTATTGGTTTTGATACTGCTTAACCAATGGTTAAAGCTAACCATGCTTTGAGCAACTCAGCCCTGGAGTCCAACACCTCCATGTAAACAGGCCTTAACTGAACGACAGTGACACGTAACAGTAACTACAGTTACTGATAAACTTATGATCCTCTAAAACAACAACAAACACTATTAGATAAAACCCAATGGTTTGTTATTTACAATTAAAATATTTCTAGCCTTCAATAACGGAATAAACTAATAAAAATAGTCCAAAACATGAAGATAAGATATTTAGAGTCATTAAGACAATGCTCGTAATGTTAACATGGAGGTGGGGGACCCCAGGTTGGTGAGATAACCCGCTTAGTTGGGGTAACCCACCTGTCCATATAATAGAGAGCTTAAGCAACGACGACGCGGACGGCAACGAGAACGGCAAAAAAGCAATAGGTTTGATTAGCAAAACAACAACAATGCACGTGCATCACGCTTTTTTTGTACATTTCTTTGCCGTCGTTGCCCGACTACAGCGTGAAAGTGCCTGAATTCACGTTTTGTCGAGGACGGGAACACAAGACAACAACTTTCTTTTCTTTTCCTGAACTTTGATACAGTCCTTTAGAATTCAACTCCAAAAACATTTGCCAACATTTGACGAAGTAAACGAGATGGAATAAGCGCGATAAAGTTTGAAGCGGTGCGAATTCACTTTTTAAGTGAAGTTTTTGTAGCCGTCGCCGTCGTTGTTGCTTAAGCTCCCTATTCTCATATAGCCACCCCACCTGTCATATAAACGATGATGAAATTAAAATGAGAGATTATATGGACGGGCAAATTACCCCACCCAAGCGGGTTACCTCACCTACCTGGGGTCCCCACCTCCATGTAAACAGGCCCTAAGTCAAAGATTATCACTTAACGACGGTGACATGTAACAGTAACTACAATTACTGATAAACTTATGATCCTCTAAAACAACAACAAACACAATTAGATAAAACCCAGTGGTTTGTTATTTACAATTAAAATATTTCTAGCATTCAATAACGGAATAAACTAATGAAAATAGTCCAAAACATGAAGATAGATATTTATAGTCATTAAGACTAATTTTAAAAAAGTGCTTACTTCCTGTCATTCTTCCATTCATCAAGTCTGGACGTCCTGGTTCTTCGAAAAATGGATAGCGCAAGCCTAGTTCCCAGTCGTCCTCGGCGATTTCGGATGTGACGTCACCTGTCAAGCTTTTGGTTCCAAGCCTCCTCTGGTAACTCGCATAGCGCGAACTGGCCTGGGTACGAGGCTGGCTACTGCAGCTCTTAAATAAGTCAGTTGGGGAGACCAATTGCGTTGTCTACTGGGTAAAACTTTATCTAGTGTATACACAGGTAGCCCAAGCTCGAAATATGAGCATCGGCGAGCATCGGTATTGTTGCGTAACATTCAAAATATAAGGATTTGTATGGGAAAAAACCTATCGTTTCTGTGACCTACGAAAATGAAAGGATTTCAATAAAAAACAGCTTACATAACTTAAAATGTGTGTTACGTCTCTCCTGTGTGGTCCACGGGCCGATTTATGGCCGTTTTATGGGTTTTTATGTAAACGGTTTTCTCTCTTTATTATATGGAGGAGAGTGTTTTACTGGGAACTAAACCACTCGTAGATTCCATACGCCACTTCATCCGGGACCCCGAGTGGCGTATTTTCCGTATGTCACCTTTGTGAGTGTCGTATCGTTCAATGACGTCACGATTCCCGCCTTTTGCTTTTGTTGAATTGGTTTCTCCATATAATAAAAAGAACATTACACGTTGGCTCGATGAATTTTATGTTCTCGTGGCAAGAACAATATCTCACTCGTTCGCTTCGCTCACTCGTGAGATATTGTTCTTGCCACTCGAACATAAAATTCATATCTTCTCGCCACCGTGTAATATCCTCTATATATAAAAGTTTACCTTTATATAGAGAGAAAACTGAACAACTGGGGCTAGATAAAATAACACCGAAAATGAATGGATTACTAGTTGCCGAGTGTAGTAGGAGGCAAAGGTAGGTATTTAAGGCGCACACGAGCCAACGGCCCAAACAGTCAGGCCGGAGCTTATAATAGACCTTTTTACCTATACGGCGGCCATATTGAATTTATTAGATTTAAGGAGCATTATGGTGGATGCCCAGGGGGCGCTCGCTGAGTATTGACGCGCGCCTTTCGGGAAAAAAGAGAACTTCAATGTATATTTCTCGGGAAAAAGGCAATCGTTATTACATCCAAAGACGGCACAACGATCTTTTTTTCTCATTACAATCTTTCTCTAGGAAAACTTAAAGAAAAATTGGCCCAAAAAGCGCGCGTAAATACTGAGGCAAGTATATGGGATCGTGCTAATGCCCCCTGGGCATCCCATTACACCCCTTAAATCCAATTAATTCAATATGGCCGCCGTATCGGTAAAAAGGTCTATTGTCCCGGTTTCCTTAGCATGAAGCATGCCTAGGAGTATTGCTACTCCCAGCTGGACGGGATGCTAGTCCATCACAGGGTTACCCCCCCCCCTCCCCCCCCAGCAGTATGTCGCCGGTACAAATTTATACACCTGGATGAAGAGAGACAAAGTGGAGTATATATAAAGTTCGTTGTCTAAGGAAACAACGCGACGGGCGAGGCTTAAACTCTCTAACTCCAGATCCAGAGTTCGAGTTGTTAACCGCTCGGCCACACACGCCTCCACAAGTATAACAAGAACTGCTGATTAACATTAGTATAGGTAGTAGCATGATTTGTAGTGATATTTGGCATAAATACCACAAGTAATATTTCGAAAATGTTAAATGTATTTTCCGAGTGAAATATGAGACAATTTTGAAATATCGCGAGCGGTATTCATGCCAAATATCACGTACAAATCACGGTATTATTTTTTTTATACTACTTCCTGCAAAAGTTTCGTAATTTTCACAAGTACGTATTTCAAATTAAGTTGAAATACCACTGCTCTAAGCCAATCAAATTGCAGTAATTTCTAATGTAGTAGTATAAAGATCTGAATACATTCAATCGTACAGTCTTAACTACATTTGTGTTTACTCCAAGATATTCCTTTGGTAGTGTATGGATGTGTTTTTCTGTTCTGTGCCATCACATACCAACAATCGACAAGTTCTTGGTCATACTTAAAATCAATCTTCTGCGTAAATAACATGTTTCTAAGCTCAGAGCCAAACACCCAGCTCAAATCTGCCAAACTCAACACACATAATCCTCGAAGCCAATAACCATGGCAGGGAGTCCTGTTCTCTGGGTAGTACCAATTGACCGCACCCCGTGTGATGAACTCCTGTTGCTCCGGCCAGGGCACTCCCCCCGGCACACCCGGGTGACGGAACAGAGTAGTAAAAAACGATTCATCGACAAAAATGGTGTCACTTAACCAGTTTAAGAAAGCTTTGGCGGTTTCATCGTAAACAGCGTACTCGCAGAACTTTCTGGTTCCCGCAATAAAAGACGACCCCTTGTAGATTTGAATTCCTTGCGGGGGCGGGGTTTTCACCTTCCCTGTATTTGCCCATTCATAGGCATCATGGCCCTCTTTACCTTTAACTATTTTTACTTCAAACACGTTGATTGTACGCAAACTTGTGTAGTTATTTGGCTTGCAACTTTCTGCATTCGTTCGCCCATTCAAGGCTTTTAGCGCCTGCACGAGACCTTGATTGGAATATAAGGGAAAATCTTGGCCACATAAATTAAACAAATAACGCCAACGGACAGAGCTTTGGAGCAAGTCCTCTATGCAGTTTAACTGAGCTCGAACTGTAGAAACATGAAGATATATAACTTTTATCCTCTTCTTTGTAACAAAAACATTTGGCAAACATCTTGCGATTTGTTGTATGGCGCGCACAAACACTAGAGAAGAGGTAGTGTCGATGTTGATGCAATAAATGTTTTGTGGCATATAAATAAACTGAAGCTGTTTTACAAACAAACTTGCGCCTTTGTAAAGTTGTAGGGCATATGCCAAGGGAAAATTCCGCTCCTCGTCACTTGGTTCAGACGGCGGAGAAAAAAGTGCTGAAATTTGTCCACAGTTGAGCTGAGAGAATGTTTTGAGAATGTTGTAGTCGGAGATTTCTTGGACTGATTTGGGAACTGGGCGTGTGCCGTTGCTGATTAGAGAGAGGTCCTCCTCGATTCGACGAGAACAATACTCTTCGGACGGGAACTAGACAAAAAGGACAAAAAAAAGTCTTTATTCATAATCATGAAATAAGCAATTGACTGTGATGAATTCTTGTAGTCTATATATTTAAATGTTAACTCTTTTTAAAAAGGCCATCGCTTAGCCTGCGTATTTTTGGCAGGTTTTTTTTAAAAATGTTTTATTTTATTTTTGGCAGGATTCGTCACGAGCAACTGCTTCGCCAGTTGGCTGTAAAGCCGCGAGGAGAATGGGGACGAAATTAGACCCCACTAACGCGCCCGTCACGCAGTCGATGCAGGCAATATATCCGTTCCCATCTTTTGGGAACCCTTTTCTTGTTTCCTGTAATCGCAAACACGAACAACGTGAGTCCATGCTCGAGACCACGATTATCCGAAATAGCAATAGCGACCAGAGTAGCCAGAGTCCGTAATGTCAACCTTCAGCATTTTTTAAAGAGGACTAGAAAAGTTCGCGCCATTTTTTAAACCAACCAGGAGTCACTTTCTTGAGCCTGCCTCCGCCAAGGGCTTTCCAATGGCTTTGCGGACAAGCGAGAAGCGCGGGAGGGGGATGATGAGAACGAGCGCGGAGTACGAGCAGGGAGTGATGGGAAGGAACAGTGATCACGAGCGACTGGGGAAGAGGCAATGTTTGAGCACCTGCTACCGCGCTTGTTGGTGCCAATTACACGTATTTGATCCTAGTTCTGATTGGTTCTTTGGGTTATCTGCGTCAGCTGTGATTGGCTAAAGTAATTACTTTTACGTTACTTAACTCTGTATGTAACCTTTTATAATATATAAAAATATTTTTCTTGGGGGTAACGCGTTTTCCTTATTTACTCGAAAATTGCGCTTCGCAGTGAATAAACATCTCCCTCAATAAGAGCCGCAGCTTCCATTCAAGAAATTTACTAGGGCTATTGACTGCTCTTTCAAGTGAATAATGGTACAGGCGATTCATACTCACTTTTGTATGAGAAGGAGATAAAAATTCCTTGGGAACTGGCGGAAAGTGGTCATTTTCCCTCGTGGTGATCGTTTTTATGCCTTTTATAAAATACAAATGAAACACGATAACGAGCATCAAAGCCCCAACCAGCCATAGGATGTTTCTGCGACAAAGCCTTAGTATAACTGCTGCTCCTCTTGTCATTCTGTAAGGATATACATAAAACGAATGCCATAAGAGCTTGATATCTTATTTAACCATTTTAACACAGTTTTGTTGACTTTGATACAATACTGAACAAATATTCCTCGAGCCCGAATGGGCTCTGACTCAGAGGCCATGAGGGCGAGAGGAATAATTGTTTTTGTAAAATCCAACTAGTTGGTACAAAAATATCCAGACAAAACAACTTTAGCTAGCAAAACGCAATTCAGCCGCCATTGTTTTGGTTTTCAAAGTCGGCGCTTTTCGCTTCTAGTAGGCTATAACATATAGACTATTAGTAGCTCAACCAATCAGAACATTAAACGCAGCATTAATTGATAATAGACCACTAGGTGGATTTTACTAAAATACAATACAATACAATCGTATATTTACCCACGTATCGTGTCTATCGTCTCATGAGCTAATAAGCTCGTTCAAAATATAATCATAAACACTGATATAATAATAAACATAGAAGAGTTAGAGCGACTTTCGTATGACCTTGAAAAATGGTTTCGCTAAGTGTTCGTTATTTTCTTTGTCAGCCAGTGGGTGAAAAGATCTCTCTCTCTCTCTTCGTTTTCCCGCCAAAGAAAACCCTAATAAGGGGAAGGCATTGTGCGATTGGCCAATCGCGTTGCAGTATGACGTCAAAGCAAAGTATCGGATGATTTCTAGAAAGTTCTCGGGCATGAAGTTTTTTCACTTGAGCGTTTGCTTAACCAACCATAAGGCACGCACGTTTGTATCCGTTCGATAAACCAATCAAATTGCTCTATTTCCGTTCGTTCGTTGTTTCTGTTTTTTTCGCCCTCTTTCATTTCAAGGTCACGAAAATCGCGCTATGCCATTTTAACCATTTTAACGAAAGCTACTGAGAGGAAGTATATTTAGCGTTCGCAGATCTCAGTAATATATTTCTCATACAAAGTCACCGGCGCGTCACGTATGGTATGTCAATTACAACACACCCTTCCCCCGTAACGCGAGTTTGGGCCACCTGTGGTAAGACAAATGAACCACTCACCCTTCAACATGATCCGCATTCTTTTATACTCTTCCGGTCCAAAAACACAGCCTGTTCTAAATGCTAAGTACACCCGGTTCAAGACTCACGATCCCGGAAAACATAATCTGTCACGGTCACATACCTAGCCTTCCACGCAGGCATTTTTATGGGAGCTCGTATTTCTTCCCTGAGGGACGAAATACGAACTCCCCTAAAATCGCCTGCGTGGGAGGCTATCACATACCCAGTCTAGACCAAATAAAAAAAGTAATCCCCCGGAATTCAATATACGGGTAAAACGTTTGTGGGGAGGGACGAAATACGAACTCCCCTAAAATCGCCTGCGTGGAAGGCTATCACATACCCAGTCTAGACCAAATAAACAAAGTAATACCCCGGAATTCAATATACGGGTAAAACGTTTGTGGGGAGGGAAGAAATACGAGCTCCCCTAAAAACGCCTGCGTGGGAGGCTATCACATACCCAGTCTAGACCAAGTAAACAAAGTAATCCCCCGGAATTCAATATACGGTAAAACGCTTTCTATATAGTATATTGGCTTTTTGAAGTGCCCTTGAGGCTATAAACACTTCGTATGAATTCTTTCAGTTTTGTATATACTTTAGAGGGTAAGTAATTCGAACATTTCGCTACTGGTTGACGTATTTATTAAATCCCAGACTCAAAACTCTTACTAGGCCAGGAGAAGACATCGATAAGCACAGTAAAATGACAGACTAATGATAGTCAGTAGTTCATGTATGACCCCATGAAACCCTATACGATAAGGCCCAATAAACAAAGTAATCCCCCGGGATTCAATATACGGGTAAAACGCCTTCTATAGAGTATATTGGCTTTTTCAATTCCCCGTGAGGCTATAAACGTTTCGTATGAATTCTCTCAGTATTGTATATACTTTAGAAGGTACATAATTCGAACATTTCGCTACTGGTTGACGTATTTATCACATCCCAGACTCAAAACTTATACTAGGCCGGGAGAAGACATCGATAAATACAGTAAAATGACAATTTAGCGAAGCGTATAAACAACTGATTAAAAATTAAACCCCGTAAGATAACACTGGTTATAACAATTACATAAACCTCTTTTTGTTTAAATTACGAAGCTAATTTGAAAACAGACAGAAGCTATTTTTGAAATAGTCAAGGACGTCACGATTATCCTCGATGAAATTGCTGAAGAGTTAACAAGCGAATTATAAATCATTGATCATTTGACTGAACTAAACGAGATTGGGTGAGAACACAAGAGTTAAACTTAACTTTTCCCGACTCTGTTCCTGAATCTCGGCTTACTACACAGACCCAAATATAAGAAAGCAAAGCGACTTTACCTTAACATCCGGAACACAGTTGCTGCCATTTTTCGCATAAAGAAAGAACTCTTAAACAATCCACTTTGACAACTTCACGTTGTGTTGACAGCTAAAATGTTTCGATTCATTTACTACGCGGATCACCAAACCTTTTTCCGCGTTCAAATAATGCTACGGCGACTCGGTATTTTTCAGTTTCCACTGACGTCGACTGATAATGAGAGGAAAGCATTAGATGTTTTGCTAGCGATATTAACCCTTCATCAAAAGGGTGCCAATAATCACCTATATGGAAATCATAAAGCAATTGACGTTATATCGAAAAAAAAAATTGTACCACTTCGGTGAAGCGAAGGTACTGCGGAGGCTTCATTTGAATGCTATAAACGCAACGGAATTCGGCCCACAGGCTTAAAATTTCACCTTCTGAGCGTCAGATTTCACATATAGTTTCACGTGCCTTTTGATGACCTTTGTTGTAAACAAACCCCTAAAGTTCGGACATCCGTCCTCTGCCACATAACTGTTCGCGTTCATTTATAAATGTTATTTCCCTTTCGCTGTTTGAAACTCGAAAAGTTAAAGGTTCCAAAATGTCTAAGCAGAAGAATAAGAGCGATTTTAAGGCCAAGAGCATGGTACTACTTGTAAAGTCTACAATGAGAAAATACTGGCAATTTCCGAGGCTTTCTTCCTTGAAAGGATGCCGCTAAGAGCCCGGCTATACAACATCAGCCAAAACAGCCGGTCTTTTACACTTCAAAGGCTCTTCCGCGAACTACAATGCTACATGACCGCAAATTTGTATGGCTCTTTGGGAAAGTACGTGACTGGAAAAAAAACTGTTTTGTGTGTGCCATCTCCGGTTGGCTAGCCCCGTATCTGCAAGTACAGTCGACTCCCGATAACTCGAACCCTCGCTAACTCGAACCTCGCGCTAACTCGAACCAAAATATTTCCGTCATACATTCACTGTAATTTTACCCTCGGTAACTCGAACCCTCGATAACTCGAACTCCCGCTAACTCGAACCAATTTTCGTTTCCTGTCAAGTCATTTTCTATATAATTTTACCCTCGATAACTCGAACCATGTTTTGAACCCTTAAAAAGTCGGGAAAAAAGCCGTCTACGGGCGTCCGAAACATTGAATTTTGGATTTCCTATTGACGTTTTGTAGGAGTATAGTTTACTAGTGGAGGCTGATGTTGATTGTCACAGGCTAACGTGAAGCAGCTTTTCTTCTCAAAACAGTAAAACCCATGCTCTATTTAGGCTATGTTTTGTTACGTTACCTTCTAATTTATAATCTATACTAGAAGTATCTTTTAATTTTCACCTGACATTTCTGCAATTAAATGTGATTAACATATTCATTATGAAGTAAAAACTGTTTTTTACGTTACTTTCAGCTATTTTCTTCGAACTCCCGTTAACTCGAACCTTTTTCCGATTTCCCTTGAAGGTTCGAGTTATCGGGAGTCGACTGTAGTGGGTGGAACGGACAAGCGAGAAGTGCAAGAGGGGAATGATGGGAAATATCTCCCCCCCCCCCCCCCCCAAATGTGTGCTTGTGGTGTGGTTGTGGAGTTGCCGTGTTGTCGTTTTTGTTGGGTGGGGGTGGGCGCGTCGGTTTGTGTGAAAAAATTTGATTTTTTTTTTTTTTTTTTTTTTTTTTTTTGAGTTGTGTATTTGAGGCAGGCTGGCTTGCTTTCCAAGATACAACCAGGATCTCGGTAATAAGCGGGCTACATGTAGCCTATTTTGAAATTATGACCGTAAACTGATCCTTACGGCAGGAAAAATGACGATAGGAAAAATAATGAAAGAAAAAAAAACTAACATGGTGAACTATATTTGCCTGATATTTCTGTTCTTTATTTTTTCTATCACTCTTCCTGCCGTAACGATCAGTTAATTGTTGTAATTTTAAAATTTGGTACTGAGGATTTTACTGATCCGGGTCTACAATATAAAGATCTGGCTGACCCTCACTGGTTTTTTCGTTGTGGTTGTGCCTTCACAAGGGAGTTTCCACGGGTAGCCAAACCTCGGCCACACATCGGCACTGTTGCGTAACGTCCAAATTATAACAACTTGTATGGGAGAAAAAGCATTTGTTTCTGTAGCCTACGAATATAAAAGGATTCAAATAAAAATCGGCTAACCTTGCTCAAGTTGTGTTTCTTCTTTCCTCTGTGGTTTCCGAACCGATTTATGGCCAATTAATGGTAGTTATTGGAACCGTTTTACTTTCTGGGGGCTTATTTGAGTGTGAGTGGGAGGGGGAGGGGGGTGGGCGCTTATTGACTTTTTCTGCCTGTACCTTATTCAAGGTAGGCGCTAATTCGAGGTTGGGCGCTTATTCAAATAAATACGGTAGAGCCATTATAAAACCTAGCATAAAAATAGCCTTTTTAACAGGTTATTTTTAAGTCAGATAACTTAGCTGTATAGATTTTCGATTTTAGAATTTTTTTTTCAACTTAATTTGCTTGTATAGACGTTTTAAAATAGCTTATTAGATCCAGAGTTGGTGTTTCGAGATGTTCGAGGTGTATACTTGTGGAGGAAAAAAACCACTCGGCCACACAAGCCTCCACAAGTATACCGTAGGAACGACTGATTAATATTAATAATCATAACTATAACAAAATTCTCAAATCTGATTGGTTCTCAACTGCCCTGATTTCAGCCTTAATAGGACAGTTTAATAGGACAGTACGCGTCATGCCTAAGTAATTGGACAGTACGCGCCATCACGCGCGCGCTTAAATGGCTTTTTTTTTTCATTGCTAGCGAAAAAATCTTGGAATTTCTTGTGTTTTGATTTAAAAAGAGCCCTATATATCACAAATTTTGTTAAAGTTATGATTAATTGGTAACAGAACTTCGTGTCGTCCAATTCGGTCTGTAATCATACTCGTGATTAAACAAATCGGACTCCCGCTACGCGGTCGTCCGATTTTGTTAATCACTCGTATGATTACAGACCGAATTGGACTCCACTCAGTCCTGTTACCATTACGAATAGCCTGCGAGCTAAAAATCGTAAAAAGTACACGCGCCGAGAGGCACGCAAGAGGAGACGCGACAGCGGGGACGCCCCTCGCTGCTTCGCCGCTCACTCGCGCGTTCCGCGCTCACTCAAATAGGAGATCTTGCTCGCAGGCTATATTACGAACTGAGTATATTCAGTCGTACACCCTCAAGCACATCTGTGTTTTCTCCAAGATATTCCGTTGGTAGCGTATGGATGTGTTTTTCTGTTCTGTGCCATCACATACCAACAATCGACAAGTTCTTGCTCATACTTAAAATCAATCTTCTGCGTAAATAACATGTTTTTAAGATCAGAGCCAAACACCCAGCTCAAATCTGGTAATCTCAACACACATATCGCACGGAGCCAATAGCCATAGCAGGGAATTTTGTTATCGGGGATCCACCAATTAACCGCATCCCGTGTGATGAACTCCTGTTGCTCCGGCCAAGGCACTCCCCCTGGCACGCCCGGGTGACGGTACAGAGTAGCAAAAAACGATTCATCAACATACATAGTGTCATTTAACCAATTTAAGAAAGCTATGGCTGTTTCATTGTGAACAGCGTACTCGCAGAACTCTCTGGTTCCCGCAATGAAAGACGACCCCTTGTAGATTTCAATTCCGTGCGGAGGCGGGGTTTTCTCTTTCTTTGTATTTGTCCATTGATAGGCGCCATGAGCCTGTTTTCCAGGATCTTTTTTCACTTCATACACGTTGACTGTTCGCCACCGTGTGTATCCGTTTGGCTTGCAACTTTCTGCATTCGTTCGCCCTTTTAAGGCTTTTAGCGCCTGCACGAGACCTTGATTGGAATATAAGGGAAAATCTTGACCACATAAATTAAACATGTAACGCCAACGGACAGAGCTTTGGAGCAAGTCCTCTATGCAGTTTAACTGAGCTCGAACTGTAGAAACATGAAGATATATAACTTCTATCCTCTTCTTTGTAACAAAAACATTTGGCAAACATCTTGCGATTTGCTGTATAGCGCGGACAAACACTAGAGAAGATTTAGTGTCGATATTGATACAATAAATGTTTTGAGGCATATAAATAAACTGAAGCTGTTTTACAAACAAACTTGCGCCTTGGTAAAGTTGTAGGACATATGCCAAAGGAAAATTCCGCTCCTCGTCACTTGGTTCAGACGGCGGAGAAAAAAGTGCTGAAATTTGTCTACAATTGAGCTGAGAGAATGTTTGGAGAATCTGGTAGTCAGAGATTTCTTGAAGGGTCGTTTGAACTGGTTTTGTGCCGTTGCTGATTAGAGAGAGGTCCTCCTCGATTCGACGAGAACAATACTCTAAGGATGGGAACTAAACACAGAAAATAAAACAAAAATCTTTATCCATAACTAGACTCACTGAAAGGCGACTTTAACTGGGCTGCCATAAAACTGATACCAATTTAGGTTTCTGGAAAACTGCCCACCTACCCCTCCCCTAAGCCATTATTTTGCCCTCAGTGAGAAGTTAAGTGTTTATGTTAGCTTAGGGGAGGGGTAGGTGGACAGTTTCCCTGAAACCTAAATTTATCCAAAACTGTGCAGCGGCCCCCTCCCCTCCGAAAAAATCGCTCCTAGATAAAGACAATGAAGACACATTTCCACATTTCCACTCGTCCAGAGTTAGCAACGAAAAGTACTCGATTCTTAGTTCACAAGACATTATATTTCTTTCATGTCAACGCAGACATTTGTCTCCATTACGACTACTGTTGCATACATTTGTCATAAATTAACGATAATGTGTCTCTTTTGCCCAATCCATTCTGATGACGCGTTCTTTGTTCTTCTACCCGAGGCAAAAGCCGAACTTTCAAAGTTCTCGTTTGTCGAAACTCGCTAATGCTTTTAAAACATCAATCACGCTTGTTGAATTGGCGGAGACACATGAATTAGGAAAAGCATAACACCCGATCCCGCACACTGAATACCGCAAACAAAAGCAGAAACTCTGGGCCACATGAGAACAACTATAAGTTCTAGGATGCTAAGTCCCCAAACCTTGTACTAGTAAGTAACTTGCCTTAGTACTCTATTTCTCTCAAGTTGGTATTTGAAGCTTCCGGTGAACCTTAGTCTCCCTCGCAACCGTTTTTTGGATGTCACGCAACGGAGCGTTGCGTGACATCCAAAAAAAAACGGCTGCGAGGTAGACTAGGTGAACCTTTGCGTTCGCAAAGCTGCGAAGCCTGGTCCCAGTTCCTCTCGTGAGTTCGTACATTTGGAGCAACTGTTCGCCGATTGGGCACAATAATACAAAACATTTTTTGTGCCCAATCAGAGGCCGGCATCCGTCTGAATTTTTGGAAATAGCCCGGTGAGAGTCGGTACCCAGGGGCTCTTTCGCCCGTACTTGAAGACTTTCGTCGTGCCCTTTCTCCCGACCCGACTGGCTGCCCCTGGGTCTCCGAGGATGGTTCCCAGGCTACTTCGACTTTATTTGCCCTCTCGCCAGTGAGGCTATGAGATAACCTTGAGTACGAAATTCTCAAAGTTCCTGTTTTCGTCGCATAAGATGAGATAAGATAAAGACTTTATCGGACGAGTCTTCTTTATCCTTCTCCGAAATTTAGACCTACAAAAACGCGTGTGTTGCATTAAACAGAAAGAAATCAATCTTCAAACAGACTCTGGAAAGGCTTTATGGATGACGCAACGCCCTCTGGGTAACTGCGCTGGTAGTGTGTATATTTTGACGGAGAAATCTACCCATTTTATGAACTTGGGCGTGACTTGAGGCAGCCCAGTTAATGAATCAAATCGATCGACTGGGATAAGTTCTTGTAGTTTATATATTTAACGGTTTATCCTTTTAAAAAAGGCCATCACTTAGCTTGCGTATTTTTGGCAATTTTTGGCGGGGTTCATCGCGAGCAACTGCTTTGCCAGTTCGGGTTTCTGTTTTGGGGCTGTAAAGCCGCGAGAAGAATGGAGACGAAATTATATCCCGCTAACGCAAACTCCCGAGAGAGTCGTCGAGGAGACGGCTGAAACTCAGGATAAGATCCCCCCAGCCACGCAGTCGATGCAGGCTATGTATGCATCACAAAAAATCAGTTCCCACCCCCTGGTGACACCTTTATCCTTGTTTCCCGTTTTTGCGACATGAACAACGTGGAATGGAGCAAATTCACATGATGTCTAGGCCTTTCCCGATTGCGCTGAGCACCTTTTGAGCACTTTTTTGAGTTTGGAGCACTATTTTGCATTTTGAGCACCCTTAAGCACTTTTTCGCACCTTGGGCAACATTTAAGCAATATTTCACATTTCGAGCAAATTTCGAGCAACATATGTCTTTTAAAACATTTTAAAGCAAAAACTGTGTGTCGCTCGCAACGAGAATCGTGTTCCAGGTCATAAATTTGAATAACTAATGATGTTGTAAAATTTCTAAATCATCTGATGCTAGCACTGCTGAATTTATTTACAATTCGTAACCGGCTTTAGTTTTTTAAAAATATTATTGTTCTATATTCTATCAACCTTTCGTAACAACCTGTCAAATAAGACTACGCAAAATAGATTGTTAATTACTTCAGTAAAAATTGACATATTTACGAAAAGCTAAGAGGTAACTGTTCACAACTTTTAGCACTTTTTGAGCACTATTTTGAGATTTTGAGCACTTTTTAGCCATTTTTGCCAGCACTTTTTTAGGATTTTACGAGCGCAATCGGGAAAGGCCTAATGACGTCGTAGCGGCCATATTGGGTTCCAAAACAATGAAACGACCTCCATGTTGGTTTCCTGTGAGAGATAAATCTTCTTCTTATGTAAATACTTCCTATTGTTCCTATACATTTGCATAGATGCTGGTCACGTGAGTGAAAACGCTCTATATCGAACTGTTTTTAAGAAAAAAAAAACATCTTTCTTGGAAGTAAAACGTTCACTGTATTTGCTCGAAAACTGCGCCGGTTCGAGCGTCCCGAACTCGAGACACTGCCTCAAATAAGACGCTGCCCCTTAATTTAAAGTGGAACAAAATTTTATAAGGGATACACTGCTCTTTCAGGTGAATACGGAGGCGATTGATACTCACTTTTTTATGCGAAGGAGATAAAAATTCCTTGGGAAGTGACAGGAAGTGGTCATCATCCCTTGTGACCGTTTTTATGACTTTTATAAAATACAAGTGAAACAAGATAACGAGCATCAAAGCCCCAACCAGCCATAGTATGTTTCTGCGACAAAGCTTTAGTGGTGTAAATGCAGATCCTCTTGTCATTCTGTAAGGATATACATAAAACGAATGCTATAAGAGCTTGTTATCTGACTTACCGTATTTATTCGAATAAGCGCCCAACCTCGAATTAGCGCCCATCTCGAATAAGCGCCCATACTAAAGGCAGAAAAGGTTAATAAGCGCCCAGCCTCGAATAAGCGCCCAGCCCCTCCTCCTCCCAATCAAACTCAAATAAGCGTTCACCCCCATCCCACCCACTTGAGTGAATAAATTCTAATAAGAGACTTTCCCGAGGACGGAGTTTTCTTCAAAGTATTTTACAGAAATCTTGCTTTGTTACTTTTCGCGTTTTGTTCTTAGCATTTATTGTTTTTTTGCAAGATAAACATACTTCACTTGCTGAAAATGGTGAAAATTTAATTAGATCCCAGCCTCGAATAAGTACCCATCCTCAAGGTCCAAAAATTTAATAAGCGCCAGGGCGATTTATCGAATAAATACGGTAACCATTTTGACTTTGATATAATACAATACAATACAATCTTTTATTTACCCACGTATCGTGTCTATCGTCCAATGAGCTGATAAGCTCGTTCTAAATATGAACATAAACTGAACTTTGATATAAACATAGAAGAGATACGCAATTGTAACCATTTTACCGAAAGCAACTTAAAAGTAGATTGTTACGGGAGGCAAGGAGCCCGCAAACTATTCTTGGTCAGCGGCACGTTTTTCAGTTCCAGAATATGGTCCACATTATTGGGATGCCCGGCGTGTTCTGCGTACTAATATGCTTGGTATGTGGCCGCGAAGACCCTGGTTTTGAGTTTAAGGTCCATCTGATGTCACGGTAATCACGTGAATGCAAATGCAAGTGATGCAACAATATTTGTTCGATTCGAAAACGCACATAAATTCAGGTAAATGGCAAACGTAGAGTACTAAATGCGAGACTTCTCGATTCACCTTGCCGGCCTGAAATCTATTTACATGTACCAAGGGAAATGAAGAAGAACCAGATCTCAGCTTAGGGGCGGAGCATTAGAAATAACCGGATTCGGGGGCGGGAAGGAGTGAAAATTTTTCGGCGCACGAATTTTTTTTTCACAAGCCCAATGTCTGCAGGATTTTTTTCTTTGGCACAAGCTTTGCACCAATTTGTTTTTTTCAAATATGTCTTCTTTTGTAACTCATCGAAAGATTAACGTGACATTTTAAATCAGTAACATATTTTTTCATTCATTTAGAAGATATCTTCGGCTCTAAAGATTTAATGACCAATTAGTGCAGTTTCAGTGTTCAGTGCAAAAAGTTTGGTTTCAGAAAATTTAATCAAACTTATAAAATGGCGTAAACTAAAAATGATTCGAGCTATTTTTGAAAAATAACTAAATATCTTAATTAAAATATAAGTTTTCTATGAAAGGTTCCAAGATAATTGTTTTGTTCCTAGCAACGCTAAAATATTTTAAACGCCGCTAGATTCCAGAGAAAGACAAAGTGGACATTAAATAACTTGTTCGAAGGACACAAATATTCAAAAGTACCGCCAGCAAAATTTAGAATTGTTCCCGCAAAATTGGTTACCCAAACTGTGCTTTTCCCTCCCAGCAAAACGTTTCTGTGAGTGTAACACCGGCTTATTGTACCTTATTATAGGAAATCAACGCTTCATGAAATTATAACCGCGAATTTGTTACTTTAATCCGCGTTCATTTTTGTTTTAACGTAATTTCTGCGCAATTAGTCAAGTGGAAAGTTGATTTATGCCACATTATTTTCCATTATTTTGACCCCAAATTTTCGATACACTCTAGAAATTCTTGACACCAAGGAAAATGAGTATCTATGAGGTTGGAAATCCGCCGATTGACGAACCTTCGGAGTGGCTAGATTTCTTCGCTCAAACCCCTGCGTTACGGGTAGCCTACTAAGTACCACGATTAGGCTTTGCATTTCAGATTGCCCATTTTAATCTGTCACTGTTGTCTTATATCGTAATATTAATAAGTTGTTTTTCTTAGTGTACAGCGCCACTATTTCCCTTATTTTGAAATGTTTCTCTCTCTTTCTCGGCGTTTATAATTTCCATTATTTGAAAGTGATTTTCCTTCAGTTCAAGTTAATTAAAACCGCGTTAATTTTGAGATACCGTAATTAACACAAGCGTTTGATCCCTACAATGAGAGTTAAGACACCATGAACTAAAGAAGCTAATACCAGCAAAGCAGATATCTCCTTGGCTAGTTCCGGCCGAATTTCACCTTGTTCCATCGTCTGTTTGTCTTTATAACCCAACCATAAAGTTTGAATCGATTAATTAGAAATTTTTGAAAAGTTGTTTTGATCGGGTCCATCCGTTGACGATAAACAATTAATGACAAAAGTCGCCATAAAGTGAAGGATGATAATTAAAAAACTGATACTACGAACATCCGAAAATTAAACTTAATATAGAATGGTAAATCATTAGAGACTTTGCGAGACTCCGGTTTCCGAATTCGAGACCGAGACTTTGAGACCCATCACAAACGCCTCCGAAATTTAGAGATCGGGCCAAAATTTTCCAAGACCTACGTTTTTCAAGGAACAATTCTATAACAAAAAGGGATCTTCGTACTGAGTTTCTTAAAAACCCGGAAGTAACTAAGTGTTAAAATACAAATTGATCGAACTCGACAAATGACGAAAAGAGAAAGTAAATGAAGGGGAAAAAATGAAAGAAATTTATACCTCTTTTTCATAGTACTCTCTTTCAAAGTCACTACTTACCTCCTAGTTGTGATGATGGCCCATGCACCAGCTTTGCGAGAAATCCGAGAGAAACAAAAAAGCGAAAGTCGGGCCTACACAGGCAAACTGTGTTGAGAAAACCAGTCAGGTTCATTTAATAACTGTGGCTGTTCTTTAAAAGCAATTTTTATTTGAATGCATTATTATGCAAAAGTTAAATATTTATTTAACCTCCCTAAGAAAATGAAAGGAAACAAATTATGTTAAATTATGTTTTGAAAATAACTTGATGAAAATCGCAAAACGACCTTCGCGGGCACACTGCGAAGCCTTTCATTTTCGGAAACAAAGACAAACCAAACAAAATAGCCATGTGAACATTTATACTTACTTTAAAAGAGGATTGTTAATTTCTTTTTGTTCTTCAAACGCTGAAAGCTTTCAATTAAACACCATTTGATCATAATTGGAGCCCGCAGATGATTCTTTCTATTTCTCTCAGTGTATCCTCTCAGCTGAACAAATATTTAACTCCCATCACAATGCCAACTTTTTATACACGTCTCCTAGCTAAAACAGAACTGAAGAACTACATTTAAAATTAAGAGGCATTTTAGCGAGTATAATTTGGCAGTGCAAAATTCTTTGTTTTCCTCTGAATAAGCAGCTCCAAAAAACCTTTCTCCATAACACGAAGCTCCATTGTTTTACGGATAGAGTCATTGTTATGCTTCTAAGTCTATTGTTTTCACGGATAGTCCTGTGAAGCCTTGTAAAGAGCTGCGTTCCGCCCCTTCATTAGCCACATTTGGTCGTCGGTACCTTTGACTGTTACGTATTCTGTTATAAGAATACATGGACCATGGAAAGATCACTGCAATATCCCCTCGGTACCAAAAGCCAGAACTCAGACGTACGTCTTTGCAGCAGTTTGAGTATCTTTTATACTGCCGTTTGGAATGGGGTTTGGGACAAAAGAGGTCATGACTTGCTCGCTCGTGTTTTCCCGCGCTCGGCAGCGTACACTGCCGCTTACAAGCTCTGGGCTTTTATCTCGTCTAAAGGGGGTTTTAGAAGGGGCTTATATCTGAGGGTGCATGTAACCGGAATAAAAAAAGTGCTTCGAAATAAGCTATAGAAGTGATAATCAAATACGTTTTGCAATGACTGGTTTTTAATTAAGCTTCACTTGAACGTCATAATAAATTGAATTCAGAAGGGGGCTCGGTTATAATCGGAGCATGGGAGGAGGGTTATATCCGGGGGGCTTTCAAAGTCCCCCGGGAGCTTGTATGTTTTGTTTACAGGTAGATGGGCCTATAACTGAGCGGACTTATATGTAGGGGGAGGGGGATTAAGGCGGCAGTTTAGCTTATTTGCTTCCCTTCAAGTCACTGGTCAACGCATTGAATTTCAAACTGTTCATTGTGTTCAATAAAGACCCTCATAACTTCAAAATGGCTTAAGTAGTTGCTCATAAAGCCGCCTGCATAAAAGGGCGATAGAATGATCAAGATGTAGGATATACCCTACCCCCCCACCCCCCACGAAACGAAAATAGCGCACACCGACGGAGAGATCGAAGAGTGCGTCTTTCCTCACGCGCCATCGCGCATGCGCGCACTCGATTTTCTCTCCGTCTTTTTCTTTCTTTTTGGCATCTATCGAAAGTCTTGATCGCCAGAAAAAGAAAATGATTCTTAGGAACTCGGAAAACCTTTCCATTTTTTTTCATTTTGTATCAGGAATATAATCAGTTTAACACCTTCAAAAACACATTTAGGATTTTGCCACTTGAGAAATTTTACAACTATTCTTTTTATGACTTTTCTGGTATTTCTATGAAGAAAAGAGCCCTGAATTAAAGGGAATACATCGAATCAATCCTTGCGACACCGACAGAAATCTAGAGAAACCTGACAAAACTAACTTAACATTTGGTAACGTTGAAGACTGACAGCCCTTCGGCAGTCTGTCGGTAGACTGTCGACCAACAGTCGGCGAATAGACGACCAACAAGCAGCCGACAAACGGGAAACTGCAGAGAAAAGTGTTATTATAGTTACAATAACTGTCGGTTAACTGCTATTCACTTGTCACTTTACTTTTCAACGTGTTCCCTATTTACAAACTGAACATGGTACATTGCTTTAAAAAAGCTTAACCGCTATGTCTAGTGTCTTCTTAAAATTAATTATTTATTCAATCAAATTCCGAATAACATTACTTTTCACAAGACAATGAATGCCAAAAATGACCTGGCTTTAGATTCAATCGGTGAATATTTCGTAAGGTTACCTGACTTTAAAAAATGTCAAAAATGAACACAGTGTGAACGTTTTCAGCGCGGTCATCACTCTTCTTCTAACCCCATACTTTGCTACGAGAATACACTGCAAGACAGTCCGTATTTTTGCGTATTCAAGTACCCGCGAACAGTCAAACAAAAGGTCTGGAGCAAGGCTAAAAACTAGACAGAGACTGGGGAGTGACGCTAAAAAAATACGCTCGGCTTACCCTGGGTACCAGAGGTTTTTCTCGCGTGCGGCGGGAATTTTCAGTGTTGGCCGAAGGCTAGTCTGCTACACAGCCGTTTTTAGTGTCGTCACGCAACGCTCCTTGGGGAGGAACGTTGCGTGACGACTCTAAAAACGGCTGTGTAGCAGACTAGCCGAAGGCCGACACATCTTCGGCCGTGTCGGCTCGGCTTTCTCCCTCTTCGAGGAGTAGGCGCAAGATTTGTCGGCGTACTGCCACTTCCACTCACAATAACACGCGCTATTCTCTCGCGAAATCAGTCACAGGGTGTATCAAATTTATAAAGAGGGTGGCATTGTAAATGGATTTTTGAGAGCTCGATGACATTTTTAAACTCCTAGGTCAGAACGAATCATTGCATGGGAAACGAACAGTCGTTTTTTGCCTCTCGCTGTCTCCTCCGCAGAGGCTCCCGCTGAGTATCCCTATAAAAATAGAAAATAATCGAAAAAATAGAACGCGCGCGGGGAACCAACACAAAGAGGCCTCTGCGGCGGAGAGAAAGTCTCTCGCCTCACACGCCCTACATGCCCGACGGGCGTGTGAGGCTCGCGCGCGAGCGTGCGAGACTGTTACCCTATTTTTACCGTATGCTAAACCGATTTTGAGAAAAACACGGACTGTTTTGCAGTCTACTACGAGAAGAACTTAACTCCGAGTCCACTTTCATCAGTTGCATCAGGAGCCTCGAACATTTGGGCCTTTCCTTTGGCTTCAAGTTGACTTAAAGCTTTCTTTAACATCCACATATCTATTCCATAGAACTCTGCCAAGAAGATCAAGCAGTGATGTGGTTAGAAACAGACATGCCAGCCTCCGGAGGTTAAAAGACTCAAAAACGGCTTCAGAGGGTTTGCGTACACAGCGTGCAAAGACAGTAGTGTGCAATAGATGTAGCCCAGGAATAGTGGATTTTGCTATTAGGCAAGTGAATTCTGTTCTTAAATTGCCCAACACGAAAGTGAAGTTTTTTGGGAACTCAATTTTAAGAAGAACTGGAAACATATCCTGCTAATCAGAATTTTTTTCAGGCTAGGAAAAATAACTTTTGGGCTAGTGCATGTTATAACCCCAGAAAAAACCTGCTGAGACACATTACAAAAATACCTATTTTTGCACTCGTCCTGACAAGAATGCTTACCGTCACAAATTAAGACCATTTCCCACTCCCCTACTGCAATGTTGTTTGCAGTAACACAAGAAATGCACATGTGAAAAAAAACAACATTGCACAAGGGGTAAGGAGAGGGGCGACTTCGTTCCGTTTTGACATGATGGTTGTGTGGGCACGAAATTGAAAAATACAAGGAATGGCTTCCTTTGCACCCTGCATACACCCTGCAGGACGTTCCACTAAACGACTCCTATGAGATTCCATAGTAAACAAATGCACTGTTGCTTATAGACTCTGTGTCTGTGTATATGTAGCTTTTGCAGGTCTTCAGTAAAGCATTGCTAGATACAAAAGGTCATCTCAGTTTTACGTTCATGGTAACATTTGGTGGATATCGTTTTAAAAAATTCACCAAAAAATCAGTAATGATTCTTACATCTTCAGATAAATCAAACATGAAGACTCGAGATAATTAATTTTCTCTTCTCAAGAAAGAGACAATTCAAACAACTAACCTTCATTTACAGTGTCATCACCAGCTCTTAACTCGAACAATGTACACACTGTGTCTGTCATTCCATTTTCCTGCACCTACAGGACAAAGTGATTTGTTATATAGCTGGAAATTTCTCCCCAATAGCATGTGCTCTCATTGGTTACTTCGAGGTCACATGACATATGACAATGAAGCTTTTTCCTGCCAAAATCGCTGAGTGGGCAACATTGCAAAATCTATGACATCAGAGGGTAACAGTGTACTGTTAACCGCCAATGTTGACCGACAACCGTCATTACAGCAAGGTTTAATGAATTTCCAGCTTCACATTTTCCAGCTACGGTGGAACTTCGATATAACGAACCTCTATATAACGAAGTCCTCAGTATAACAAACGATGTTCTTCGCCCCAGTTTTAGTCAAATACAGTATATGAAAAAGAACCTCAATATAACGAAACACACATTTTGCCAGACCCTTAAAGACTAATCCCTCAGGAAACAGTCAATTTTGTTTCCCTCGAATCTCAAAGTTTCCCTTGGTTCTGCCTTGGGAAACATTGAGATTCTCTGGAAACAAAATTAACTGTTTTTAATCATGTTTATTACAGAAAGACTGTTTTAGCCAGTAAGGTGAGAAATAAGAGAGCTTTAGCATTCATGCATTTTACCATTTCTTACCCATTTAAATATCATAGATGCCCATTCATCTGGTGTCCTCCACATGACAAAGCATCTTTGTTTTCTCTTGTCCTCCCATTCAATATTACCTGGTTCACAGAAGATGACACAAGGTAAGACACTAAACAATAATAATTGATTGGCTGATTTCAAACTGATGGGTACTGGCTATGAGTCCGTTATTACGGTATTATCTACACAAGACTCACAATGATGGCCAGAAGTAGCACATGGAGCTGTTACAAATTGTCAAGTTTGCTGTTTATCAAGCCTGTGCCACAGACATACCTAAACTTCTGGTTGAGCCTGTCTGTAAAACAGCACCAAAATCCTTGCTTTGGGTCCCACCTGTGTACCAGGATTTGAGTACGTGCCATGATTGGTCAATTAGAAAAGCCATTGTCTATCTGCCAATCAGGTTGCAGAGAAATTTGAAACATATTTCCGGTAATTTATTGAGACAGCTAGGGGCCCGGAATAAGGATGTCATTGCTGCTTTGCAGGTGTTACTAACCAGAGTTAGATTTTGTCAGTGTGACGCAGGCTACTGTTCATCGGGCTAATAGTAGAGAGGTTAAGCATCCAATCATGTCAAACAGCAAACACGAATTTGTACCACGTGACCAAGTTTCCTCTTTACTTGTCATTTACTGTTCATTAATTTCTTCACCTAAAATAGTAGTTTCACACAATTTTTTATCCATATTAATATTGTTTTAAACTGTTTTTATCTGCTCATTTTCTATTTTGAGAGATGCTCAACTTAAATCTGACGTTTGCAGTTTGTGGTATCCGTGAATGTTCAAACTGTCTACTGGTTGAGATACAGCCGTTCAAAAACTCCAAATTTATTGAAAAAATACACAATGTACATAGAGGTCTGGACAAATGTCTTGCAATCCATACAATATTATTCTTGTTCTATCTTGGCCTGATTGATGTGGAGATTTTGTAAAGTTAGTTTGTTTATCTTGCCATATGAGTCTTGTGTCTTTTGTTTTTTTTTTTCATTATCCTCTACCCTTATGTGGCTTTTCAGAGATAATGAAACAAATAATTCAAATGGAACATAACAAAGTTAAGAATCCCACCTGGTAGGAGACAAACCAGTTGGCTATTTTACAAGTACTGCCAAGGACTTCAACTCGGGGCTACCAGGAACAAATCCAACAAGCGGTCAGGGTGGGACTTGAACTCAGCATGTCCAGAATACAAGTCCAGTGCCCTAACCGCTTGGCCATGCCTCCTTCGCTTGTGTTATTAATCTCATAGCCTTTTGCATGTGACCAGGGCTGTCACTAAGATTTCAAGTTGCTGGGGTTTTTATTTTCCTTTTGTTCCTTATGAAACTAGCTGGGGGTTATGTTCATATATGCCACTTGCACATCTCCCATAATGCACATTATTTGCCCCCCCCCCCCCCCAATTTTTAATTTTTTTCCCCCCCCCCCCCCCCAAATTTTGCATAACCTTTGTTTTTCATTTCTCCTGGGTATTACAACCGTTCCAAGAGAAATTGAAAACAATGCTTATGCAAAATTTTGGGGGGCAAATAAGGTGTAATTTTGGTAGATGTGCAAGTGGCGTATTAGCCGGGGGAAATCCCTGCACCTGGCCCTTAGTGACAGCCCTGTGTGACTATGCATTACCGGAACACTGACTTGTAATACTGAATGCAAGAACCATCTGGAAGAATCTGAATCTTGCTGAAGAGAATTGATTTGAACAGGATGCAAAGATCTCACCTTTTACCCTTAGCTCTTCTAAAATGAGATTGATAGCATCTATTGACAGTTTTCCTGGATGAAATGTTAAGGGAAGGGTCATAAATGAATGAGCCTTTAAAATGAAAGATCATCATCATCATCATCATCGAGTCTCATCATGACAGTAGGTGCATAAGGCCTTTTTTTACAATAAAAAATGAATAATACAACTTTTAAGTATATACAGATTATACAACATTTTAAAAGTAACTGTTAATTTGGAAGAGTGGAAGAAATTCATTGAAGCCCTTGGCCTTAGCACTCATGCCTTGGTACTGGCACAAAATGGTGCCATGTACATGTACCCAATATGTAACTCCACTGTGTAAATAAGTGGGTATGCAAAGCAATGGCTTGCCTTGGAACTAACAGAAAAAGTGTGCAAACAGGGACCTGGTACCTACTTTAGTGGCCGAGGGTGCCTAGCATTTACTCAAACCACAAAGGTGGAAATCTTGTACATAAATATAAAACTATACAATTTGACAAGGTACAAGGTACAACCTGCTACAATGTGTATCCAAATCAGCTGAACAAATTAAAAAGAGTACAAAAGTTACATCCCCTCAAATCACAGACGCATGATCTTATTTTACTCATGCCCCAGGCATGGTATCTACATTCTGGTGTGGGTACTTACTCGGACTGTTTATTAAGGATATCAACATCACAGGTGTATAGTTTACCATTAAAAAAAAATTCAGGTTTGAAAATTTGGAAATTCCATGCGCCCAGTGGAAAGGTACATTCCAGTTAAACAGACCCAACCCAAGCCACAGTGTGTATGATTATTGTACTTGTAAGCAGGATACAGGAAGAGTGGTACTGAGGACAATAATAGAAGGGGACATTTCAGTCAAACTGACCAAAATGACCAAACTGGTCAAAGTGGACCACCTTATGCTGGTCAGACTAAACCAAAATGGTTCATTCCATTGGATTTTTGAATGAAATTTCCAGAACTCTGGACTGAACGGAAAGTTTTAATAAAGTCTACGAGTCCTCAGATTATAATAATGATCAGTGATAGGATTAAGAGAAAGACATCTGAAAAATTATTGACCCAGTTGTGTTGCAATCAATGCATGGATGTGTGATTGCCGTTTTTAGGAGTCAGTTAAGGTGATCGTATGCAAACTGCCTTCTTGTTTGCTTTAAACCGCTTTTTCGATTTTGTGATTGTTGCAACAGTGAAAGAATTTTCTCGCAAACCAGAATGTCCTTGAGAGATTTTTTCTTCCTGTAGGAGACAATCAGCATCTGGTCAAAGATTTGTTTAATCTCAGGTTGCTGTTGAATGATGCGCCAGTGTTTCATGAGAATCTTTTTGAGATTTGGTGTGGCCAGATTGTAGGTAGTTACAAACGGCAAAATCTCTTTTGTTTGTTATGTTTTGTTGCGTAGAGCCTCTTTTCTGTCGGTGAACTTAACTTCAGTCAGTATTTCTTGACCAAGCGTTAAAGGGTAGCCTCTTTGACAGAGTCTGTGTTCAAAGTCTCGTGTGCTTTGTTCAAAGTTTTTCTCTGACTGAGTTAGTTCTTAAAAGACATAATGCTGCTCCTTTTAAAAACCCTTTTTGGCTAGATGCATTGTTATCAAATATATGGCATTGTAAATTGTACAGAAATAAAAACTGAAGTATATGACTAAAATCACACCACAATAATATTGCAATGCAACACATAAGATTACTTATGATATCCTAGCACACTAAACTATTTTCACTATTTGTCACAACTGCCATTAAAAACAAATTGCAAGGATACGATCTATTTTCTTGTTGCAAAATATTTCACTTGACTGTGCTTCGTTAACATCAAGAATGTAACTTTTATGATGTTTGTAGTAGGCAAGCACCAAATCACACCAGCCTTCTATCTGCTTTTTCCGCGTGTCTAGGTTTGGTTGTAGCCTGTAAAAATACTTGCATGTTTTTACTGCTACAAAATACCAGAATCTGAACAAGACAGAAGAAATACTCACGTGAAAAATGGTGGAAAATTATACTGCCAAGGCCACTCAAAACTGTCCGCCATGTTAGATTAGGCCAGGCTGCAAAGTAACTTCTAAGAATAAAACCCAGGCCCATCTCTGTCTTCCCTCACAATCGAAATCATCAACACGATGTCACAGGTTTCGCTTTGCAATCGCGCGAGAATATGAAGGAAATGCGATGGTTTTGGAACTTAAAGGAACATTCGTAGTTGATGTGAGGTAGGATTTTACAAAAGTGTACGAGTAGGTTAAGATGTCTACTGAAATATCAAGTACTAAGTAGGTTTACTCCAGGAATATGATTCGCTAAGTCTCTGCATTTCCGGTTGGACTGTCTTAAAGCAGGTTGATTTTTTTCAGAAGCAAATTTCTTTGCTGTGTAGAAAAAGCTTAATAATACTGGAATTTGCTACTGCTCTCTCTGGGCGTCTGAACTTATTTTCGCAAAATTGATTTGTGTTATGGCCCAAACTAATTGGGAGGATGCCCGGGGGGGCGGGGGAGGTATCTAGGAATTTAAACGACGGGGATGATCGAATGGGGGCAAAAATCAAAACCCCAAAAAATCCCTAGGGTTTCCAACAAAACCCCAAGAAATACCTGGACAAAAATTCACCACCCCCCCCCCCTCCCAAAAAAAAAACAACTCCCATGCCAAATTTCCGAGCCTTTTGGATTCTAACAGCACTCGAGACACCCAAGAACATCTTCTATTTCATCAATAACATTATGCAGAATGCCAACTTTAGATTTTTTTGAAAACGAAAAAAATCCTGCATAAATCAAGTCACCCAACCTCGTTCCCAGGGTTCTCTCCTACCCGTCCCTAAGGAGAGAGAACCTGGGAACGAGGTTGAAAGCCACCCAAAAAAACCCCAAAATTTCAAACCCCAAAAAACTTTCGATTATTTCCGTCTCTTAAAATCCTGAGAACCCTTCTGGGGGAGGATGGTGGGGGACTCCGTTGTGAAACATACAGTGGGAGTTAAAGAACGCCAATCGGGTCGTTGCCCATACGTTATCAGACCCTCGTAAGACATTGATATCAATATCTGAGATTACACACACAGCTTAACGGGACACGAGACAATAAGAATCCACACTTTATACCCCTCCCCCCCCGGTTAGGGGTGTATCAAGCAGTTCTATAGTGAGACATTACATAAAAGTCAATGCGAAATTTCGGGTACATGTATTGCGTCCTTCTTTTCCACCATTTCCATTCACTTTATTAATTACTTTTGTTATGTCAGGTCCCAGCAACTCAACTGAGCCAAGCACAGTACGGCGTGACATGAAACAAATGTGCGCGCGCAGATGAAACACAATGTCTCTACATAAAGCAGTACGAAAGAGCAACAGTGACGAAGTTCGAAATCTACTGCAAACAGAAGGGACAGCTGTAAATTCAAGAGATAGTTATGGCAATACTCCTTTACATTTTGTAAGCGATAAGACCATTGCTTCTCTTTTGATTGAATCGGGTGCCGACCTAAACCTGCAAAATCGAGACGGTGATACAGCACTACATACTTGGCATAGGCCCAACTTTGAACAGAACGATCTTGATGATCTTCTCAATACTGCACCAGAGAGGAAATTAGAACTCATCTCCCTGTTATTAGAATCTGGAGCTTCACCGAACATACAGAATAATTTGGGCTACAACGCCCTACACTCTTCGCTTGTCTATGGTGGTATCGCAGGGATACCCTACGATGGCCACTTTATGAATAAAGTAATATCTCTTTTAATCCAATTTAACGTCGATGTGAACATGGGAGATTTTGAAGGCTGTACGCCTTTACATCACGCAGTCAAAGAACCCCATGTGTTCAATGCAGAGACGCTTTTGGCAGCAGGAGCTCTGGTGAATGGATTGACTCCTCTTCAGCATATCTTCCACTCCGATAACACAGATATGGCACTACTATTGCTGAAATACAAAGCTGATATAAATGCGCAAGACATGGATCGCCGATCTATGCTGTCAACGGCGGTAGAGGTGGGCAACGAGGAAATGGTGCAGTTTTTGTTAACAGACCCGCAGGTGCGTGTCAACCTTGCGGACAAAAACAGTGTAACTCCCCTTCACCTTGCTGCAGCATTTAAACGTGTGGATCTCACTGCAATGTTGATCCAAGCTTCAGCCGACGTAAATGCACCTGATTCACGTAACGCAACCCCGTTACACTACGCAACCTATGGGGGTACACCAGAAATTGTCACATTGCTGATAGAGGCTGGTGCAGATGGCAAAATAAAAGACGATGCTGGATGGATGGCAGTACAGTATGCTCTTTCTAGACACTACTGTCACACTGCTCTACCATTTGGTGAAAAATATCTAAGAGATTGTCATGCAAGTAGCACCAGAGGGCATAGGAGGACTGCAGACACTTCGTTGGACGATATTATATTGGGGAGCCTCCCTGCAGACGACATCTTTACAATAGTGTTGTCCGCATCCCAAGTCCGCACAGGTCCGCTTGACTCTTCAATTAAACTTGATGATTTGGTTGAGTACACGAGGGCCAAATCAGAGGGACACATTTCCAGGTACTTACATGACATGTGTACCGTGCCTGGAGTTGGACGAATCCCAATGGCCATTTCAGAAGTCAAGTTCTTGAAGTCGGAAGTCGAGAATGCACCAAACGATGCTGGAAAGATGGGGCTAGGAGCTGAAAGCTCAAAGACAGAAGTTCATGAGGAGAAACCAGAAGTTGGTGACACGAAGGTTGCAGTCGATTACATGAGGAACGAAGTTGAAGATATTCGGGAAAACGTTGAAAAATTCATCTCCAAGTGGAAACAGAAAATAGCTGAAACAGATGCGAGGTTCACAGGCACGTTGCTTCAGTCCGGAAGCGTCTACGAAGGTACGAAGGTTGGTGAGCCAGACGAATTTGATTACATGTTGTGCTTAGAAAGGCTAGCACCAGTATGTTCGGTTACATTTGATGAGGTAACAGAATACGATAAAGTCATAGTCCACAAAAACGTGGAAGGCTTTGAAAGTAGTTACGAGGGATTTTTTGACGGACAGCAACTGGATAGTGGCAAAGTTATGGGATTGTTTGTAGATGTTGCCAAAAAGGCATTAACAAGACTGGACTATAGTTTGGTGCCCAGTGAGATGTACGTTGAAGGCCTCACAGAGCATACCCTTATTGAAGATACTTGGGCTTTGCACGGCACAGTAACTTGTAACTTAAAGATCAAATGGTGTGGTCTGTATTACAAGCAGCTCGTGATTACTGTAGATTTAGTACCTGCCATTCCGATTCCAGAGTGGCCCCAAGTGGTCCGTCAAGAAAGCTATCTATTGACTGAGGATATTAGACTCCGGGGTTGCCATTTGGTACCAAAGTCTGGTTATTGGAGACTTTCATTCTCTCTGGCGGAGAAGCTGATAATGCAAAGACTACTGTGGGAACAAAAATCGGCGTTTGTTGGAGCCAAAGTCATTCTTCATCCCGCTGTTTCATGTAAGTTCATGGTTTATGATGACAACTATGCTCTCGATGACGACAGTTTTCCCGTTCTTGGCGATGTTCTGCAAAACGTTGGTGACTGCGATGGGACTGTCCAAGACGACGCTGATGAGTGTGAGGGCGTCATGACAATGCAAGGTAACAAAGAGGCTTCCACTTCGTCAGACGAAACTACCAGTGCTTGTTGTTTGGGTGAATTGGGTGGAATCAATCAAGAAAAGTTTTCAGTACCAGCAACTATTGTTGGTAGAACTGCGTTGTCGCAGTCTGGTGATGGTGCAACCATTTTAAAGTTTGCCAACGCCGAAGAATTTCAAATTGTGCAAGAAAAGATGCAAAGTGATATGGACGAGAGAATTGCGATTGGTTTTCAAAAGCAACAAACGACAGACGACGACAGTGATGTCCCTACCGAAACACTTCTCCCGTTTAATGTTTTATCAACATATTGGCTGAAGAATTTGTTTTTCAACTGTATTGAACAAAACGCCAAAGATACTACGGGAGTTGCAGTCACAACTAAACAAATATTTAGCGAGCTGTTTTATCATTTAAAGCAAAATCAACCCATTCCCTATTATTTTATGCCAACTCAAGGTTTCTGTGGGTTCGAGGAATCCAGTGACGATTCCCGTTTCGAGAAGATGTTGGTTGCCAGAATAATGAACAGTTTACTAAGTCAGGTATAACTGCAGGTAGGTTAAGAGAACAAGCCTCAGTTGTTTAAAAAGATGGATAACGCTATCTACTAGTTAAATCTCTATCCAGTGGATTACGCAAATGGTTTCCCTAAAATAGTCACATCCCGTTGATATGGACACTGAGGGGACCATAGCAAGTGTCCGTATTAATCGGGTTGAATTTAAGGAAAATATAAGAGCTAGGGACAAGGCCAGTAAATCTGTCCGTGAACTAAGTGTCCGTATTTTAAAGGGGGTGCCCGTAAAGCGGGGTCTATCCGATGCCGATAGTGTCATTTTTCACGAGAACTAGTATTTTTTCTGTCTCGTCACGCAACGCTCCTACTTAAGAAACTTGAGAGGAGCATTGCGGAGGGAGGAAAATAACGACCGACGAACGAAAAAATAGTTTGATAGATCAATGATCATTAAGTAGAACTTAGCGTATGCGACCACCCCCAATCCCGACACATCTACTTTTTGGAAGAGGATGTATTGCGTGCAATTTCTAAGGCCCGGTTCAATCGTCTATTTCACATGTGCCGAATTTAGAGGGTCCCCAATAGTTTTTTCGGGATCCGGGATTTCTCTTTTTTGAAGCTCGGGATTCGGGATTTTCTTTATTTGAAACTCGGGATTCGGGATTGAACGAAGGCGTAGGAGGGGGTGGAATGCCAAAAATAAACCTCCGCATTACGGGAACTCCCGAAATTTTGGGTCGGGACTACCGGATTGAAGAACGCTATTGGGGACCCTCAATAGGCCAGTTTACAGTTGTGTGCTTAGTGTCCTAGCCTTTGAGTGAACGTGAGGCTGAGGTTGACCTTGTTTTGATAAAAACCTCGATCCTTTTCTAATGTAAATTTTGCTTAAAAAATACTAGTTCGCATAAGAGAGACATGATTTACATAATAGAGCAGGAAGGGCTGTATCAAAACAAGGTCAACTCCAGCCTCGTTTTCACCGGCAACTGTAAAATGGGCTATTAAAAACGTCTTGTTCAAGGTCATTCGCACTGAACCTCGTTCCCAGGAGTCCTGTCCTACGGACGGGGGCCGAGTAAGAGAGAACCCTGGGAACTAGGTGGATTTGTTACTAAAACGCATTCTACGAGTGGCGTAGTCATGAAGCAGAGATCAGACCATACGTCAAGTGGTCGCTCACAAGTGGTTAAAAAGAAACGGTCGTTTACGAGAGGTGGTCGTTTAAGAGAGATTTCAATTAAAGTTATTAAAGGCTTGACTTGAAAATTTTTTGTTTTGGATTGGTGGTCGCACATGGAGGTTGCGTTTCCTTCCGGATCGGACCTGCGATCAGGCGGTTCTTCTTCCCTCCGAAAGAAAAAAAGACAAAGACAAACAATACAACAGACATCGAAAACATCGTTGTCCCGTCACGCGTAAAAAAGTAGGTCACGCAATCTTCTCTTCTGCACAATTTCGTGACAAGCCAGCTATTTGCTCGTGCAAGGACGAAAAAGGAACCCGATAGTTTATTCAAGAAATGTTATAGCAGTTTTGAGAAACTAACAGGAAGAGAAATAAAGCTAATTTTAAAAAAAGAAATATCTTAAAACGATCGTGACTGTTAGCTGACATAGCGAAGTACATTTCATTTTCCATATATGGTGTGCTTACGTTTGGGTGTGCATCTGTCCATCCCAAAGCCTGACGTGCATATAAATCCACTACAAAGAACGTTTAGAGATCTTGACAGTCCACGGGTTTGAGAAGCAAAATGTCCAGCAAATCTAAAACCAAGAAGACTGCAAAAAAGAGGGCTCAAAGAGCCACCTCCAACGTCTTTGCTATGTTTGAACAGTCTCAAATCCAGGAATTCAAAGAGGCGTTCAACATGATTGACCAGAATCGCGACGGGTTTATCGATGCCGACGATCTGAAGGATATGTTCGCTTCTCTCGGCAAAGACGTTAAAGATGACTACGTGGAAGATATGCTTAGCGAAGCGAGTGGGGCCATCAATTTTACAATGTTTTTGACATTATTTGGCGAAAAAATGAACGGAACAGACCCTGAAGATGTCATAAGAAACGCGTTCGCGTGCTTTGATGAAGAAGGGAGTGGGAAAGTGGACGAAGATAAATTGGTGAATTTGCTTCAGTCTGTGGGCGATCGGTGAGTTGTTAATATCATCCGTGATGTTTTGGTCCTTGAGACATCTTAAGTTCAAACCTGGGCACTTTTCACAAGTGTGACTCGAAGGCACTAAAGTTATGCTTCACTGGTAATTTCTTGTTTCATTGCGCGGAGTTTTAAAGTATGAAACAACAACCCTTAGTTTGACCTAGTTTGTGAACTGACCCACGGCTAAATCTTTAAGTAGACGGGTTGTAGTTGCTTTTCTCTTAAAACTCAGCGTGAGTTTTATTGCTTGAATAAAAGGCCTCTTTGTGCCGAAATTATAATTCATATCCTTTCGAATTCTCCGAAAGACCTTTTGCTCCGCATGTTGTGTACATTTTATGCACAGTTAATGATTGTTGATCGATTGCACAGTTAAAAATTGCTCAGCGGGTTATCAGAAAACGGGTCTGCCAATTCACTGATCCGTTATCGTTGGCAAAATAAAGATAAACCGTACTTATAAACCAAGAATTTTCACATTTTCGAAGCAGATGTTAAGATTGTTAAGAACTGGATACATTCCAAGTGTGCTGTATACAAAAATATTCACACTCCGGTTAATTACACCGCAACATTCCATTACGTCCGCTGTTCGAATTTCCCGTTTCTGTCCGTCCTTTTTTTAAGCGAAATTACTATAACAGTTCATTTTAACGTTAATTTTAACTAGAATGTTGTGGTTTACTGTGCCGGTTTTTAATAAACTTGGAACAAGTTGTTTGCTTTCTGACGCTTTCTTATCGCGGTTTGATCAACAATGTCCAATATCCATTGAAACATACAATTAGCATGTCTGTAACAACAGAATTCTTTTCATGTGTACATGAGAGCAGTATCGATCGTATCGTTTGTGAAAGCCCTCGCCCTCCATAATTGTCATATCTTTAAAAAGACAGACATGACAACTAATCAGAGACTTCACAGACTCAAAGCAAGGACTTGACGAACTCCTTGTCGCGAAAGGGAATAAAAAGAACTCTGTCCGTTTGCCGCATCCTTAAATCCGATGAGTAGTTTGGGGGGTAATGTAGTTTTTTGGACCGAATGTAATTAGATGTTCTGCATAGCAGTTCTCTGGAAAAGTAAAAAGCAAGATTGGCAGTTAATTAACCTTTAGTCTGTCAGTATTGACCTATTCAAGATTGCCCATTTTAAAACTTAGCCATGATCTTATCCCACAGAACAAACATTATTGATCAAGGCCACTTCCAAATTTCACTGTTCCATAGCTTCAGAGGTTATTGTTACCTCTTACATATATTTGCATAAAAGTAATGCACCAGTCAATTGAAGCCACTGCCCCCAGCCCCTGGGACATAGCGGGGGAATAACGAGTACATAAACATGGAATTGCACTTTTGTAATGCTTCTGGGAGGATGGGGGCAGTTATGATTTGTCAAATTAGCGGGGATTTTTTCGTGAGGCTGTAACAGCCATGACAGCAGGACTGGGCCAGAGCAGACAAGCGCTATTGTCATTGTTGCAACTACTTAATGCCGCAATCACTTTGGCATCTAACACTCTGTGATCATGTAAATGAATTTAGTCTATTATTGGTAGTTTAATAGCCTCTAATAAATTGGAGCATTGTTTAATATGTTCTAAGGTGATTGCCATAGGGAAATTAGGGATTGAGAAGAGGGTGGGTGGTAGGGCATGTGGATGACGCTGATGCCTCCATTCCAGGCATGACCTTGTTAACAGATGAACAGAATGGCTGATTGGAGTGTTGAAGCTTTGTCCAGGGGGCCTTTCCCTCCCCAACCGCCCCCCCCCCGCCTGTCAATTTGAGTATTTCAACTGATTACTTTTCAGAACCTTCGAAACTACCCCATACCTCTAAGCTATTGCACATGGCAGGTACAAAATGCAGTCACAGGTCACAAGTGCAGGTTAGAGTACCGGTCACTGTGCTACAAAAAATAAAGAACGGTAAAAGTGTCTCCTAGCGCAAATCACAATCCAGTTTTAACTAAGGGGAAACTACTTATATCAGTTATTTATTGATAGAGCAGTGACCAGCAGTTGTGACCTGTCTTTTGTCCTGTCATAATGCACCTCTGCTAAAAATCTTCATTATTTTTAAACTAAGTGCTGTGGCTAACCATTTTCCTTGTTTCGTTCAACAGGTTTACAGATACAGAAATCGATGAGATGTTACATGGAGCACCTGTTGATTCCAAGGGCCTCTTTGATTATGTGAAATTCACCAAAATTATCAAGCACGGAAAGGATGATGATTGACGAGGCATTCTCTGGACGTCCTGACGCACAAAAAAACTTTCCTTTATTTTCTTATACTCAGTAGGCTTGCTTAAAGTATTTTTTGCATTTTTGTATGAAAAGGAAGAAGACTTATTTAATCAAAGTGATCATATTATTTGTTTAACAAGTTAAGAGATTAAATTTCACATCTCCTTGTTACCAAAAAAATAAGAAAGATTGTGGATACAACTTTCTTCTTTTTCCTATTTTTTTTTACCGAAAGTTGTTAACAATGCACATTGGGAGAGATACACAGATAAAGCTTGTACTAATAAAACCAATATCCAAAAACCCTCATTTTTGAAAATGACGCCAGGGACAACACCTTTTATTGAAAGCACAGGCTTGTAGCAACTCAGGTATGGCCTATTATACCACATCCTTACCGTATGTAAATGCCAACATTTTCACAACTGTTTACAACATAATTCATTTTTGGGGCCTCTCTTTTGAAGGGAACCAATGTGTCTCACCAAGTACCCAGGCACTAGCCTGTTCCAGGCATTCAGATAGTGGGGAGTGGTGCTAAGTAAAGAAGGAGATGAAAAGAAGAGGGGGAACTCTCCCCCTCCCTCCTTTTTATTTTTTCGCACTCCTTTTTACTTCGCACTGCTCCCCACTATCTGAACGCCTGGAACAGGCTACCCAAGCACTCCCTTACCACTTTTTTGTGGTGTGCACGTGTTGTGAGGTCAGTAAATGATATTCATTAAAGGGTAAAAATTGATTGAGGGGTGTAAAGTTTTGAACTGCCGCTCAACCCGTTCCAAGAAACCCAGAGATGCCGTCCACTGAACAAGGCTAAATTTCCACTGAACATTATAAGTCAAATACGGCAAGTTTTTTTTGTATTTCTTTGTTGTTTTCTGTTTGATTATTCACCACCAACAACAATTCAAAGTGTTTAAGAATGAGAATGCATTAAAACCCTTACAACGTGCACAAGCACAATGTACCACAGCCAGCAAAAGTGTTGTTTATTCACTCAATTTCAATGGATCAATGGTTGTTGCAAATTTTACATACCCCCCAGTAGCATTCATTGTAACTTGAGATTGCAAAAGAAGTTAAGACATTAAAACTAAAACAAAGTGTGTTTTGTCCAAAAAAAGGCATAAATAGTGACAATGTATTCTCCTCTATTGTCTTTTTTGGTCTGAATTAGTTCAATTTTATGAAATGGAACAATTCTGTGCTCTTTGAAAGGTCTAAAAATTTAAAAACAGCTTTTAAGAGTGCGAGCAGTCTCTCTTCTGTTTGAAAACCTGTGTGAGCGATTATTGTGCGCGTGCTTTCACAGGTCTTTGAGCAAAAGAAAAACTGCTCCCATTCTAACATCTTTTGTGCACAGTCTTGAGCTCAAGTTGTGAGCCTGCATGCATCAACTCTTTGAGGTTTCATTGACTAAGATGTCTCGAATGCACTGATACCAAGAACCTGTAATAACAACTGCACAAGTCTAAACCGTTGATTCTCTTTGCCATGAGCTTTCTTGCATTCTCAGAAACATTCTGGCTAACTGGTCATAGCTGCTTTTTCTTCTACAGGAAGGCCATGTGTTTTCTTCCGTTGTATTCCGGTTCTTTGCATTTCTTTACCTCATTTACCTGCTACCTAGGCAATTTCGTCCCCTTCCGGTTGGCGTGCGTCGCTCAAAAACCTAAAACTCATTCTCCACGCCCACCCCCCTCCCCTTCCCCCACCGTCGGGCGTGTCCCTCGCTCTACGTTGGCTCCGTGCTTGCCTTCGCCCGCCTGAAAAATGCGAAAAAATAACGCCTGTTCTGAAAAAGATCAGAGAATTACATATTCTTACTTTCTTGGCGAAGGGGCCGCCACTCAAGGCGCGAGCGCGAGGGAAAATCCTGCCCGCCACATTTCAATGAATTTTTGAATGCGCCCACTTCAGGCAAGATTTAAATTTGACTTACCGCAGCACTCGCCTGCTGATCCCGCCAACTAAGCAGGTTGAGAAAAACAGGTTTGGGGTCTTCCAGTCATATTAAATGTGGCCAAAGTTTGCTTAGCCTGCGAACGGCAGACGTATTTCTCTCCCTCCGTTATTTTTCGGAGGGATAGAAGCGACGACCGGAAATACGTCTGCCGTTCGCAGGCTAAAGTTTGCTTTGCTGTACCTAGAATAAAGTTTAAATCGCCCTTATTTATATTGATAATATTTGTGTTAGCTTATTACATTAAAGCACCATTGACGATCATACATCCATTGAATAAGCGTCAGCTTTTCTTTTGCGCTTTAACTTCCGCTAGCCACTGTTGTATTCTTTCCTTTAACTCTGCGTGTTTCTGAACCATGCTTAGTGTAAGAGGACTGCGATTGAATGGATCCTTCTGATCGCTATAAAACACAAAAAATTATGAAACATGAAAACCTCTTAGGGACAAATAGTTTTCATAGAGAGGTAAAAATGCAAACCCGAAGTTCACAGAGTTAGGCCGAGGCCAAACGTCGAGACTTTTATGAGACGAACCAAACTCTTATTTGGGTCCACCTAAATTATGTTAAGATCGTCGAATTTAAGACGCGTCGAATCAATCAACTGAATCAGACCAAAAACGAATCTTAATAAATTTTTTCCCACACGACGCTTGATATACATTATCATACAATTTTTTCACTTATTAGTTTAGTTCGAAAAATGGAGTAGTTTGCTAGCCAGGACCCGCGCTCTTATTCTTGATACTCGATTTGAACATTTGATTTCGGGCGTGAAAAGTTACCGGGACTTTCGAGAAACGGGCCTCAGCGGCCTCAGTTTGGATATTAGATCAGTCATGAGGTCCTTTTACAAAAGTGTAAACAGACAAACAAGCAGAGACCGTCAGTAGAGGTGAAAAGCTCACTTGGCCCATTCCCCCTTACGAGCGCTTCTTATGAAGGACAAGAAAGACTAGGGACGAGTTAGTGTGGAAGTCTATGTGTCTGTCGCCTTAGTAACTGCTGCCTAAACGAAGGATGAAATGAATATCTAGGACATGACGATCACCACAAGTTAAGTTGCTCAAAACTGAGGCTATAAGGTTAAAAATGGAAAAAAAGATAAGTATACAAACCTTAATAAATGGCGACAAATGGTCGACATGTCCACAATGTTATTTGAAGTCGGGAGAATCACAGGATCGGACATCAACATGTTTGTTATAGGATCAACAAATTCTTCTGGTGGCTGAACGAAAAAAAATATTTGTTATTCCATACTGCAGAGTTAAATAGTCACCTCCATTTTGCCAGGAAATAAACAAACAAGCAAACAAACAAACAAATACGGCCACAGTTGTTCTAGACCACAAGAAGTCCCCATTTTTCCTCAGGAATAGTGGAGTGAGCGAAACGCGAGCGCGCGTGAAACTCACCTCACGCGAGAAAGGCGAGACGAGGTGGGGAGAAAGAACTCTCATCGCCACGTCTCGCCTTTCTCGCGTGGGGTGATTTTCACGCGCACTCGCGTTTCGCTCGCTCTACTATCCCTGAGGAAAAATGTGGACTACTTGTAGTCTACAGTTGTTCAAAAGGTGGATAGCACTATCCAGTGGAATAACCAGAAACCAGGACGAGAAAGTCTCAACATCAATATTCTCCTAACAGTATTAAAACATCATGAAGAGAAAAGATTATGAGAATTTGATAAATGGTCACCCAGAGTGAAGGTTTTGATCTTTCGTTAAATTCTCTCAACTGACTCTGTAAGGAAATGTATGGAGATCACTCTGGGGAATTTATATGTGGATATCATAAAGGGTCTTACCTCTGGCAACTCCTCTTCCTCCTCTTCCTCTTTTTGTGCGCACTCTTCAACGCGGTGTGCAAGTTCACTGAGTCGGAAAATTACAGATGACGGTCTTCCAATTAATCTGGAAAATGGGATAGAAAAGCAATTTAACACCATACTCCTTTCGCTCTTAAAAGTACCCGGAAGAAGACAAACACGAAAAATACTGAAATAAAAATCGTAAAAGACCAAAAAAATAACTAGTACCAAGAAAGTGACACTACTGCTCCTGAACAGGTTTCAGTTAAAATGGTCTCACTTTAGGATTTCATTGTCCTCAGACTCAAAAGTTAGAACTACACGCTAAATGAATAGTACCATGTGAAAATACTGCTGAAGAGGTTCCATTTGAATGGTAACACCATAGTATTGGGTCCTCAGACTTGAAAGTTAGAACTACATACTAAATTAATAGTACCACGTGACAATACTACTGAAGAGGTTTCATTTAAGTGGTCACAACAAAGCATTTCATTCAGAGACTCAAAAATTAGAACTACATACTGATAACTAGACAAATAGTTTCATGTGAAGGTACCGTTGGAAAAGTTCATTTACATGGTCAAACTACATGATCAAAGTCGAAATTTAGAAATGCTACACTTGTGTCCAGTATTGCTTCTCCGAATAGAAGAGTTGATCAATAAACCGATGCAAGCACTCGGAAAACCAGTTTGACAAGAGAAAACAAAATTGACTAGTCGAGAAGTTCGGTCTTCGGCGACTTCAAAGGCTTGAGGCGACTTGGGCAGAGCCCTCTTTTCTCTAGACTTGCTACAAGTCGACCTCTCTCGCGCAGCGACCGAGTCTCGAGGTCGACTTGTTTCGCCTGAATGGATTTGAATTATATTATAAATTCACGCGGGGAAAAAATGATTGACATATGCTGTGTCGGGAGCGGCGTGAAATATCACTAACTGTCCTATTGGTCAATCAGTGCCATGACATCACCGGTAGAAGTTTCGACCGGTGAATTTCGCGCCAAACAGGTGTGAAAAGTCCTTTTAAGGGCATAACCAACCAGGAAGCAAAAAACAAAGGACTTTTAGAAAGTCTAACTTTTCTCCTTGTCAGTCAAGAAGACAAAAGGAAATTCTGCTCTCAGGTTGCCAAAGAACTTACTTTAGGACTCGCTCCGACTGCTTAAACAAGTTAGGAGAGTAGGATCTCTTGTCTGTAGCCACTGCATTGCAAAAGGATTCATCTTCACCCAGGTTAAGGTAGATGTCAACAATATCAGAAACCAGCTCCTGGGGCTTGAAATGGAACTCCGATAAATTCTTCACCTACATAAAAGTAAATAACAGTTTAAAGGCAAAGTTAGTACTAATTTAACTTGATGCCGGCCGGCCCCCGATGCGTTTCCTATCACGCATTCGCTGGCATTTCCTTGATAACCAGTAACATTTTAGTCACGTGCGACACAACTTACATAACCGGTTTGCACAATGACAACTGTGGGCTAAGAAAGTTGCAGCGTGCAGTCTCAGCAGGGCACGCATATTCCACATTAAACGAAACCAGTTTTGAAAACCAGTAAGTCTCGGTCACAAATGGTCGGCGGCTACATGAAAGATTGTCGTGAGGGACCTCTGCTAGCAGGAACCTACTTCCTCTTTTCAAACTATTAGATCCACAACTCCGACATGTTTACTCCCATAGTTAATTATGAAGGCGTGTAATCTGGTAGCCTGCGAATGCACAGGTAGCATGGAGAGATGCGACGACCGGATAAACGTCTGCGTTTGCAGGCTACCAATGTGAGTCCTCAACTTAGAATCTGTAGTGTGAAAACCATGGAAACCCCCTCCACCAAGTACTCTTACATGTCATATTTTTAATTTGCAACAAATCAGTTAAACCTCTTTTATGATATCCTTTTTTATCAATATGAATTGTTAAAGATTCGGGCAAGTCTTTCGTTTCATTTTAGGACTTTTTCGCAGACAAAAATCTAAACTCAGTATCATATCTTGCTTGTTTCGATACCGCAAACTTTCGCCCGTAAGCTCCACCCACACCCCCCACCAGTTATAGGCCCATCTACGAGTAAACAAAAAATACCTCCGGTAATAAGCTCCCTCTAGATTGTATGGAAATGAATTCGATTTTTTACGACCTTTTGAAGCTTAAAAAGCGAGTAAATAAAAAACGTATTTTAATTTTCTCTTGTCAGCATTGCTTTGTTAGTCCGGTTAAAAGAGTCCCCCCCCCGCCGGATACAAGCCCCCCCGGTTTATAAGCTCTCATAAAACCCTTTACGAAGTTGTATAGTCCCAGGGTTTATGAGCGGAAGTTAACAGTATGCTTATCCCGTTACAGTCACTTTCGTATGACCTTGAAAAATGGTTTCGGTGAGTGTTCGTTATTTGTTTTATCAGCCAGTAGGTGAAAAGATCAAAACATGGCCTCCTCGTTTTCCCGCCAAAGAAAACCCTAATATGCAGAAGGCATTGTTCGATTGGCCAATCGAGTTGCAGTATGACGTCAAAATAAAGTATCGGATGATTTCTAGAAAGTTCTCGGGCAAGAAGTTTTTTCACCCGAGCGTTCGCTTTACCAACCAAAAGCCACGAGCGTTTGTATCCGTTCGATAAACCAATCAAATCGCTCTATTTCCGTTCGTTTGTTGTTTCTGTTTTGTTCGCACTTTTTCATGTCAAGGTCATACGAAAATCGCTCTATTCTTGGATAATTAATTTAATATACTATTACCTTGAGTTCACCCATTTTCGGTCCGACCAATCTCAGGAGAAAGTAGTTCAACATGTCCGCCATTCTCCTTATGAGGCACCCGATAAGAAATGGTCTGAAAGCCAAAGAAGCAATGATAAGTTAGTAGAGGGAATATACTTAACCAGCAACACGTCTCCTATGCGAGGCTCTAAAATCCCAAAATCTTTGCGAGGGCAACACAACAAAATCTGTGAGTTCGGAGGGTTATAGAGGGGTGTTACTGGCAAACGTTGTCCGACGATTGTAACTGAAGACTGGTACTAAGGAAAACCGCTGTTTCTCTAAAACCTTTAAAAAAGTTAACTGCATTCTTGTTTAGTATACAGTCACAAAATGCTAGAGTTAACAATGAACGTTACCACACGGAATACATTGAACAGAACCTACTTTTTGATCTCAGCTGTCATGTAACTCAGCGCACGGACTGTTTCATTAGCCAGTATATTGTGACTGCGTGCCATTCCACCGGTATGTTGAAGCTCTTGCTCCTTCTACAAACAAAACATTCAGAACAGGAAAGCACAGTTGTAAAGAATGAAGAAATACCCAAGACACAACAAAATGTTTTTGGTGGCTCCTACAAATTACTGGCTTTGAGGCAAAGTTATTTAAAAACCATGAAAGATGATTTCAAAAACAACATTCATAGCCGTGTCGTTCAATGGACGATTAGAAGAAACCCTTGTTTAGCTACGAGAACTGACTCGTCCTCAGCCGTCACTTATTAGGGAGTTTAATCAACGAAGACGACGATTTGGACCATGTTTGCAGAGAAAGGGTTAATCTTTAAGGTGTATCACCTGTTGCCTGGCTTGCTCATTTAAGCTTTCCCACTCTCCACTGTCTTTTTCTGCTTGCAGCTTCTTCAAGGTAGCCATATACTGCATAACAAGTTATACTGGTTAGAGTCAACATCAGCAACAACTAAGAGTTATTTTCTTATCATCAGGAGGTAGCCTGCGATCAAGCTCTCCGGGGATCTCTTCCCCACCCCCCCCCCGTACCCCCGGAAGCCTGGGGAGCCCCGGGAGAGCTTGCTCGATGGCTGATCAGGGATTTGAGAAGTTAGAACTTTCCTTTAACTATCGTTTCATTTTACCATACCTGAAGAGCTTCATCCAGTAGAAATATAGAATCATTGATCAGCAGGTTAAGGAAGCGAAGAAATGTAGGAATTTTTAGATTACTCCGGTTCTTTTGTACATTAGATGCCTAAAAAGAAAAGCAAAAATAGAGAAACTCAGACCCTGACCACGCGCATCCGAATAATTCAAAAAACGGAGATTAGTTTTTTCCTACATTTTAAAACATTAAGCAGCAACCGGAAGTGAGCTTTGCTCTCTTTTAATATGCTTTGACGCTACCAAATTTGTATTGCTAATTGTCTTTACCCTTGCAGAGACGATTTGTCCTAGAGTTTGTTCAAAATTACAGCTCAAGTGTGCAAAAAAATTCCACTTCCGTTTGACGTGCGTCGTTCAGAAACGTCGCTGCTTAAAACTCCCTAGTATATGGTTTATGACAACACCTCCACTTTCGTTCGTCCAGATGCACGTAAACTTAAGGGGCCGACCATTTCACTCTTGAGGGGGGGGGGGATTTCTGGTCACCAAGAATTTTTTTTCTAGCAATCTGGTGGGCAGGATATTTTTTTCCCTTTTATTCCCATAAGCTTTCTATTACATTTGTGCTACATGCAATTTTTTTCTTCCGACAAGCGCTTGCAGGAAATTTTTTTTCAAAATCACCCCCCCCCCCCCCCCCCCCCCCCCCCCCCCCCCGAACAAATGGCGCCCCCAACCCCCCCGGTTCCACAAACCCCCACCCCCGGCCCCCTTCTAAAACCCACCGCCTTTTCGGTGGCTGAACGGGTTTTCTTGTTGTGGGGGAGCATACAAAGCGAGGACAAACACCCCGATCTACAAAAAATATACGAAAAGATGTTGGGAAATATTTTTTTTTAATAGACTGTGGGGGGTCGTTTTTTTTTTTCCTTTTTTTCCACCTTCGTTTTCTTTTTTTTTTGTTGTATTGGAATTTTTTTTTCCCCCAAGCGCTTTTACGAAAATTTTTTTTCAAAAACCCCCCCCCCCCCCCCCCCAACCCCCTCAAGAGTTAAATGGTCGGCCCATAAGCCGGCGTTTTCCAAAATCTCCATCCTGGGGACCTTTTATGAAAACCTGCCTTTTTGGTGCCCGAAAATGCTGTTTATGTGTGGACGGAAGACTAAAACGGATGAAAAAATCCCCGTTTTCAAAAATATACGGATAGGTGTAGACGGGGCCTCAGTAATGTGGGATGCAAAGGTGGGACTCTTGGAGCGAGGTTGAATTCAGACCCAGAAAAGGGACGGCATGGTTTTTAGGGAAAAATATTAATTATTTACCTCGTCAGCCAACGTCCTCAAAGTATCTTTGTACTTATCTTGTTTCCACATGTATTGCAGCACTGAATACATGTGATGGCGGTAACCTGACAAGTCAAAGAGAAATCAATAGCCAGTTAGGTTTACTACACATTGACGAGATAACTATCTGGGTGTCCTGTAGGTATTGCTGGTTGCTCGTGACGTCATGGCGCCCATGTTGGTAGTCAAGAACAAAAGCATTTCTCTCCGCTGGGAACAAAACTCTATTTCCATGTAAATTCTTCGAAAAAAAATTATATTGTATTGACCACCAACATGTTCGCCTTGTCACGTGGTTGCAAACAAAGAATTAGCTCTTATGCCTCTATTCAAAAGCTGGACAATGCTTCATTTACATGTATCCAGTGGATGAATCACATTCGATTACATAAAAGAAAATCAGAACAATTCGGGCAATTGAGTGGAGCTTCCATTTCTGAGGGAAAAATTGCTCTAAAATGTGTCTAAAAATAAACCGGTCCGTGAAAACGACGTGAAATAGGCTCAGTAAGGGAGTTGCTGGCTCAGGGTTATGGACAAAGATATATTTACTTGATATAATATTTCACAATTATTCCTCGAGCCCAAATGGGCTGTGAGTCAATAGCCCATGACGCCGAAGGCCGAATGGGCTGTTGACTCACAGCCCATTGGGGCGAGATTGTTTTAGTGAAATCCAACTAGTTGGTCAATAATATCGAGACAAAAAAACCTTAGCTAGTTAAAGCTAGACTTTAATCCTTTTTTGCCGCCAAAAAGCCGGCGCTTTTTGCTGCTAGTAGGCTCTAACATATAGCCTAGTAGTAGCTCAACCAATCAGAACGCAGCATTGATAATAGACCACTAGTTGGATTTAACTAAAGTGAAATATGGCCTTCATAGTGCACAGGACAGTCAGGCCTGCAGCGAAATTCTATTGGGCATATTCTATTGTCCTATGTACATTTTTACATGGATTTCACGTCACCATTGCTAACTCTACATGTGATGCAATTTGCCACTTTAGAGACGAGAAGGGGCCTGGAGCCGAAATAAGTGACGCAATTGCTTCTGGGATCGTTACCGGGGACACGCCGGTCAGCTATTGGTCAATTTTTTTTTTCGTGCCCCTAGCAACAGTCCCAGAAGGCTTTGCGAAAGCAAACTCGACCCAGTCTACTTTTCATTTCTTAAGTGGCAAATTTGTTGGACTTACCAAACTTCTGCTCAAACTGCATAGCATGACCTGTGAACTCAATGTCCACAAAGAGCTGTAACAAGGCCTGAGGGAGGTAGAATGGGGCAATCTTGTGCTGGAGGAATGCATTTTGTCTGTTGAACTGCAGTAAAAGTAATCTAGTCAATCAACTGGACACCTCAGAGAAGTAACTCATCCTTACACTGGCTATAACTCAAACGAACACTACAAAGTACCATATAAATGCAGGGTTCTATCTAGGGTATTTGAGGGGTAGAAGCTTCCTTCCCAAAATGCCTAGCTACTCCCACAAAAATGCTGTTATTATTACAGTATATAAGTAACTATATCGGAAAAATCATCCAGACGTACCAAGGCCAGTGCACACACCTTAACATTTCTCAAAATTGTGTCTCAAAATGCACCAGATTGCATCTCAGCACATATTCATTTAAAAAAATTTCTGGGGAACCCCCCTAGGAAGCTTGTTGCCTTCAGCCACTCGGGACTTCTCCCCCAAACGATAAATCCTAGATAGAACACTCTGAAATGGTCGGGAACCACAAATAATCTTCTTGTAAAACAGACAGTAGCTGACAAGCTAAGGGGACAAGCAAAATTTGGGGAGGGGGTGATAGTCAGCACAATTTTCCAGATTTCTGATACAAACCATATTAACTGAGGAAGGTGACAGCAGTCCAGAGGAGTTCTGTGACCTGTTTACTGGGATCAATGCTTCCAGTGTTTCCGCTAGTTTTGCCCTGAGATGTGGATTACGTACTCGCTCTGGGCTCCTACATGAACGATAATGGTTAGTCTTAAGCCTTCAGGTCCCAAGAGTGATCAATATAAATTTTTTCCTAACAAATATCAATACATAATTAAGAGAAAAGTTCATGAGAATCAATGAAATGATCAGCTAAGTGAAAATGCGTTGATCTTTAGACAAATTCTCTCCACAAGTTTTTCAAGAAAATGTATGGAGATCAGTATGGAGAATTCGTATGTGGATATTGGGGCTTAAAGGGTTAAACAAGAAATACGTGTATCGCAGAACCTCGCGAAGCCCGGGACAGGAGCCAGTGAAAAGTCAGGGATGGGAATGTAGAAGAGAAACAGAGTCAATTGTGTTAGTGGGGAGGGCAGATTTTAAAACCCGCTGTAAATCAATAACGTCCTGTAACCTAACAAGGATAATTATAATACTGAAAAGCTGACTTACCCCATGTAGATAACAAAAAATGTTACAAGATGATGCAGAGATCGTCCAGCATTCTCCAGGGTATCTTCACTAAAATGTCTACAAAAATAAACAGCAAAGCAAAGCTTTGATTAACAATATGCAACTATTCAAAGAGATTAGATGTGCAATTTATGTACCACTTTATTTATCAAAATAAATATTGCAGATGAGTATTTTTTTTTTTACAAGAGCATTCCTTTACCTGAGGAAAATTATAAAGTCTGCCATAGTCTCCACAATGAATTCAGGAACAAAAAGTAATCCAGCTGGAGTCTATAAGGAAAGAGAAAGTGAGTATTGGTAAAATATTGAAAAAGAAAGCTGCTACCCAAAAAACCAGCAAATTACAACTGGTTTCATTTAAACAGTTACTATATAATAACAAATGAATTATTCTCTCACGGGAAAACGTTCACTGATGGGTATCCACTTAATGGACAGAGGCTGATGGCTAACAATATTATTACCAACAAACCTTATTTCAAAACATTCTTAAAAACTAAATAATAAGTTTAAAAGAAAACAAAAATTTATAAAGATGTACAAAATCAATTTAATGGATTGTCTACCAAAATATATCTACATTTTAAAAAATACCCCCTTCTAATAACAAAACAAACAAACAAAGTAACTATAAGTACAAGAAGCATGAACAAGATAATTTTTCCACACCTCAGTTGGAAGAGGGATTTCCACTTCTTTAAAAGAAGTCATGTCCTCAAAGTTGTCGCCAGCCAGTGCTAGTTGGTTCAGCCACGATGCAGTTGCTATGTAAAACTGCAGCACCAGATCAATCAGTGTTGGATTAAGAAGATGTGTCTGTGGAAACACAAAATATGTCACATTAGAGACTTTAAGATACACCGTCTTTGTGAATGGGTACAGGAAAATTATCTGTACCTGCAGTGATGTGTCCCTGTAGATTGCCTCTCACCAAGGAAAAAATAATGGTATCAGTGCCATTTATTATCACATAGATCTGGGAAATCATGGTTGACTTTTATATAAATACATTGCAAACATGTTTGCCTACTTGTACCCATGAGCATAAAAAGATACACTCATGTATCCTAACGTTTTTATTTTCACACTAAATGTTTGTTACCTCAGCTTTTCATAATTTAATACTTGTTTTGCAGTTAATTATTTTTTGCCCTCTTTTTATGATGAAACAGTGCACTGTATTAATGATTTTGTTCCATGAACATAATCATTTTTGATGGCTTTCTAAGAGCCTGACTGAATTAAATGACTTTCCAGGTTTTCCCATGACCATACAAACACAAAAACTAAAGATATAATTGCTAAATTAATGAGCCCCCATCAGATTGACTGTAAAATGAAAAAGAAGAAATTAAGAGGTATAATTAAGCTGATGCCAGTGGTACCTTCAGAGACAGCTGTTTAATGATGCTGTTCTCAAACTGAACTTTATGTCTCTCATTCAACATTCCTTCAGTTTGGTACATCTGCTGTAACTGAAAACAAAAAAAAAACTTTGTTCCTTTGATTCTAATATTCTCTTACCATCTCCTATACCATCGACTGATGTGATACAACTCACTTTGACTCTGAAGACTCTTAAGAGGACTACCGCACAGGTTGTCAAAACATCATGCAGTCACTGTCAACAACAGTCCTATTCTGGACTACATTCACCCCGACGATCCTACTCAATCTACTTTAATTTGTATATAATGTTATCGGTCATAATTAAATTCATTTCTAAAATTCTCTATTTCCTTTGTTTCCTAGCCCTAATTACTCAGGTCAAGAGACAAAGGAAATTGAGAATCAACCTAGGTTAAAAAAATTTAACGTGAATTTAATTTTGACCTGTAACATTATGCCAATTTCCTATAAGATGGAGAGGCAAAATAAATAATCTCCATTAAAATTTCTAATTATTAGAAATTTTAACATCAAGAAATACAACTTGGGCGGTAGAACTCTTTTCTCTTCTGACCTCACTGATGCAGTGAGAATACATATTGCTGGCTTTTCCTTTGCGACACATCTACAATAACACATCCAAAAACTTATGGTGTTCTTGTGATGTTCACAGTCCAACAGTAACAACTAAGAAAGTCTCTAGCTTGCAAAGAAAACTTTTCTGCTGGGTCAGCTGCAGGATCAATATTGTCAAGATCAGCTACCTGTGCTAACTCATTCATGAGTTTTCTGTACTTCTCACAAACTGTCCACAAGCCTAAGATTGAAAGAAAAAACACAAGTTTGAGATGCATTATTTTTCTAAACTAGTCAAGTTCAATAAACAACTGCATCACTGAATAGAGGGATAAATTAATTTTAGGTCTCTGGGAAACTGCCCACCTACCCCTCCCCTAAGCTAACATTAACACTTACTTCCTACTTTGGGCAAAATGATGGCTTAGGGGAGTGGTAGGTGGGCAGTTTTCCAGGAACCTAAATTGATCTGAATAGAGGTTGGGTGCCTGGGATGTGTAGGGTCTTTTGAGTTTGAGTTTCCATGATATGGCTGGTAATCCCCACAACCTGACCCAGCCTTGAGCCAATGGGTTTGCAAATCAGCCAGATTAAGTGTAAAAATAAGAGTTCAGGTGAGATGATCATTCTTCATTTTAACTTCTGAATCCTTGGTCGAAATCCTAAGGTCTTGCCTTTCAAATGAAACCTCCTTGGCCAAACTTTTGAATAGTACTATTTATGTTTCAGATTTTACAAAAAGAATTTTGAAACTATTTTGCAAATTTTCACTTTTGTCACTGTTAGGAGTGATAGGGTTAATAACACCTGTGACAATAAAACTTTACAGGAGAAGGCACATACTCAAGGAGGAGTAGGGCAAGAGTAGAGGTGAGGTATGATGTTTCATTTATTTACCAATGCTAAGACAATGGTGTGTCATGAAGAAACACTCTGTAACAAATCCAAACGCTTTTGTGATCTTTAATGTGATTTGTTCTTCATCAGGTGGTGCAACCAGCCTTGTTTCACTGTCCAAGCCAACAACATGTAAACCAGTCGATTCCTGCCCAATGGCGTCGCTGCCCACAGGCACAGCGCAGTACTGGGGGTTGATCTTCAACAGCTTGGGCGAAAGAGGATCCATAAATGGCTGACACATTTTGAGCAGCAAAGTGCTCAGATTAAGAAAAAATCCATCTTCTGCTTGAGACGTGGCAAGGAACTCAAACATCTGAGCAACCATCTGTGACAAAATAAGACAAAAATCAAACCGTGATCTACAGTGAAGACCAAAAATCCTTGGGACAGCTTAAGGATACCTTCTTTTAACAGTAAAAATGCGTAAAAATCCCCAAAGACGCCAAAAAATTCATGACATATGTCCCAGAGGATGCAAAGATAAATAATGATCAATCATTCTGAACATGTGTATTTAGTAGAAATATCCTGTTTGCATAATTTCTGTGGCAGTTATTATGGGCCAGTATTTTGATGCAATGGCATGTGAAAAAGGTTTTAGCCAGAAGGGTGTCCAGCCATCCTATGGACACCTATTTTTGGAAGAAATACAAGGAAAATTCACTTAATCTCTTGTAATTTTGAGGAAAAACATGCCTTCTAGATGGCCAGTTTTCAATGTTTGGCTAAAAGCCTGCATATGACATGTTCTCAACCAATGAAACGCAGTTTTAATGTGCAGGAGGTATAAAGATCTGCTGCAGGGTGTAGAACACGCACTTTTCTCTACTTTACAGGCACTTACTTTCTTCCTTATGATATTTCCATGAAGGCATGCTCCGATCCAGTAGAGAACTTGGTGCTTTGAAAAACTTGATCGTTTCATGATCTCCATAATCACCTATAATACAACCAAACATTAAATCAACCACGTTATTTTCAGAGGTAATCAGGCCTCTTGCTCCCCTGCTTCTAACTTGAGAAAACAGCTGTGATGCCACCTCTGGTTTCCCCGCCAATGAAATCTGAGGAACGAGTGCAGAAATTCCCTACTGATGACTCCTGACTACCAAGATCTGGGTGGTGCTTCTGATTGGCTGAAGCAAATTTTCCGCGTGGCATGACCAATTAAAAGCCCTACCCAGATCTGCGTGGTGACACATCGACAGTATGACATTTCTGTGCTTGTTTCTCAGACATCATTTCCTGGGGAAATCTCTTGAAATGCTGGCTGCATATTTAGGCTACCTTGTTTGCCGTTTAGATAAAATGTACTGATGACATTTAATATGTTGGCCTTAATTCCATCTGTGTTGTTTGTTCATTAAAAATTGTCAAAATGAAGTCTAGGATTTTTTTTTGTATTGCGTCCTGATTAATCTATACAAACCTGGTGAAGTTTGCCTGATAAATCATCCAGATGTGTGCGTAAGTTGGCCATTGTTGCCTGTATTTCAGCATGACTTGGTTCAGTTGGACGTCGGAAGAATTCCTAAAGATTTGCAGAATTGATGATAATAAATAAAATAACAAACACCGAGACAGTGACTTATCTTTACACAGTTACCCAGCACTGATTATACGTGAGAGTTACAGAATTGTTCACAGTCGCAAATCTGTCAAAAAGAGATGTGTAGAGAGTATTTAGGAGTAGAGGAGAACCCCACTGATATGAAATAAAAGGGGTCCCAAACATTTTGAAGAGGATTAAAGGTGACTACCAACCGATGGTTTGCTCGGATCCCTTGACATACTGGTAAGGCCCACAAAATACCCCAGAAGGGTTTGTCTTTCAAAGGCATGTCCAGAAATAGAGCCCATGGGAGACTTTGAGGGAAACCAGAACTTTGATGACACAAGTATCTGAAAACAGAAAAAAATTATTACTACACCAAATAGGCCAGAGAATATTATTATATAACTGGAAAACTACTAAGTGACCAACATCAGTTTTCTCCTAATAATATCCATACACTGTCAAGAGAAAAGATTGCTGGTATGACAATTAATTAACTGATCACCAAAGAGAAAATGCTTTGATTTTTTTATCAAATTCTGTAAAAGATTAGTTTGGAGAATTTTTATGTGGATACTAGAGCTTTTATAAACAAGGGAAGAGTTCCTACAAAATAAAATGACAATGGCAAAAATACAAATTTCCGAGAGTATGCTATATAAATTAAGTCTTAAAATTACCACAAAATAAATAAGCAATCACCTCAGCTAAAATTGTGTGCTTTGCAAAGAAGTGAAGTATATTGATGTAATTGTGAACATCAGACTGAAGTAGTGACGAAACATCTTTGGCCCTTTCTGCTAACATGCTAATTACTGGAGAGAACATGCTGAGCTGAAATTGTAGAAACAAAAAAATTGAGCACGGGTAGGTGTCAGTTTTGAACACTTTACAAAAAGTGTTGCTGCAGAGAATATTAAATATTCTACTCTTCCTATATAGGGTTTATTGGTTTTACATCCCCCCCCCCCCCCCCCCAAAAAAAACACATGGTAGCCACCCCCCCCCCCCCCCCCCCCCCCATCTAGTCGGGGGGACCCCGCCGGCCCTAGAGGAGAATATGCAGACACTAAATGTGAGAAAAAAAAAAAGTGACCCGCGGATGGGTGTATATTTAAACACTTTCAAAAAAGGTGGTGTACAAAAAATTTTAAATTTTCTACTTTTCCAATAAGGGGTTTATTGGTTTTAAACCCCCCCCCCCCCCCGCTAAAAAAATGCCAGTTCAGCTTCAGACCAACCCAGCTCCTCTTCATAAGGTTGCGGGGGACACCTCGGGCTCATTATTATGCATTAAGCGTATGCAGGAAGTAAAACTGATATTGACAGGTTTACTAGGTATTCAATACTGGATAAAAGAAGAGCACATAATTTAAAATGTTCATGTGCACACATGAAACAGAGACCGCAAACAAAATGTTTATTTTAAAGTAACAAACAGGCTCGGAGTGGTAGTAAACCTTGCTTCAGAGATTTCTAAATCAATAAAAATAAGGAAATCTTAAGAAATTTTGCCACATTTAATACCAAAACTTTTTTTTATGTTTTTTTCCCCTCAAGAAAAAATCTATGAAAACATTGCAGGTTATAAACAAAATTAAAGAACGGAATGTGATGCACCATAATTACACATCTTGGTTGGAACTTGCGCTTTAGTCGGGACACTTTCGGGAGTCTCAAAATTTGACTTTTCCAACAATTTTGTGTCCAATAATTCAGTGCAGATACAAAACTTCATGGACTGGCACTGCAGAGGGGTAAACTTGATTGGAAAGACTGTAGTGTGTCTGCATGTATAGAGCAGAATTCTAAAAGAGCGCTTTTATAAAAAGATATATTAAAGGCGTTAATATCTGTGATAACAGATTTTGCTCATTTAACAATTATGTCTTGCTGGTGAAAATTAAATTGTAAAATCTGCTCTGCCCATGACAAACCAGAGGTTTTGACCAGTCATTTATCAATAAAATCACAGAGTATTATCTTCTATTCTTTTTTGCAAACTTGGACACAAAATCACAGTTTCCCAATTTGGTACAACTGTGGCTTTGAGCATTGCCATAAAGCATTATTTCACCAAACAAAAAACAACCCTCTTAAACGTCAATTATTCCACAATGTATCCGTTAAATTTTATCTAAATCCCCTTGAAAACAGCCAAGATATACGCAAAATTTTTTCTTATGAATTTATTCATAGATAGGTGTCCCCTGCAACCTTAATATTCAGCAGCAGGGCTTCAAATATTTATCTTTTTAGAACGAACATATGCAGACAGCATTTTGTCCGATATGGGCCAATTTTAATCCGTCATTGTCCAATGACTGCCTGTTATTTGCAGCTGTGCTGTGGGGAAGATTGTGTACATGTAGGTATAGAAATTTTCTGGGATGACACCTGTAAACATCTAAGAAAGAAATAAAGTTTAGTCCTGGAATATCATCAGAAGCACACCATCCTCAAAAGGAAATTCTCCAAGATTACTTTTTGAGGGAATTTTTGAGTGAACTTTCCTTAGAAATTTTGCTACTGATGAATCTTTTTTTTAAGATTCAAACAACAACATTTTGAAGAATATTATTGATCGCAACAGATTTTATTCCAAGAGGATAAACTGCAACCTTTTTCACTAAAAATTTCAACCTTGTTTGGAAATTTGAAAAACTGGTTCCAAAAAAAACATTGAACTATAACAGATAATATTATATTGTACCATCGAAAAGAGTTTTATTCTTCCACTGAATATGCCATTAATTAAAAAGAAAGTCAAAATTTGGTTTGTCCAGTCCCGCCATTGTTTGTTTTTTCCTCAGTCAGCAAGAAAACCTGTCAAACTGGGATTTTATGAACTTATATAACTGACGGAACTTATGTACTAACTAAATCATCTCTTCTCTGATGCTCCTGAACAAGGCCATCCATGAATTCTGACAAAACTCTGTCTCCTGTAGGAAAAAAAACACAGTTGAAAGAAATTCATGTTAAAAAATATCATTATATTATTATTTATAATATTATATTATTGAAATGTATATTTTGCTGCCCAAATGTAGACCATTTGAAGATACCAGAAATAATGACTATTTTTAACCATGCTGCTGTATATCAGTGATTCCATTTGTTAGGAGTTGTTTAAAATAGCAAAGTGTAGAATAATAAACGTATTGGATAAGGTTTTTGTGATATTCGGAATAATCAAGGTCGAGGTAATTAGTGTTATCAGCCGAGCTGACATCCTGGGAGACCCAGGGGCAGATAGTGGGAGCGAGGGAAAGTCTAAACGGGCGGAAAAATGTGGCACGAAGAAAAGTAAAGGACGGCGAGAAGAGCCCCTGGGGACAATATCTTACCAGACCAGTTCCAAATGGTCGCCGCCGTTTTGGCTTCTGATTGGTGGCAGAAAAACACAAGTTTTCTGGTACCAATCAGAAGCCAGAACGGCGGTGACCGTTTGGAACTGGTCTGGTAAGACATTGTCCCCAGGGGCTCTTCTCGCCGTTCTTTACTTTTCTTCGTTTCATATATATTTTTCCGCCCATTTAGACTTTCCCTCGCCCCCTTTATCTGCCCCTGGGTCTCCAAGGATGCCGAGCTGAAGGCTGAGACTGATAACACTTACAGGGATATCACAAGAACTGCATCTAACAATTTTTCTTATACATTGTTTTGAAATAAATAACAACAAAATAATATAACGTCTCACAGAACCAATTTGACATTGCGTGCGCAACCTACAGATTAGTCAGTCATCTGCTAGCAGATAACTAACTAATCTGTAGGTTGCACAGATTTCCAAAATTATCTGTGCGCTCTTAGCCAATGAGAAGATAGATAGTGAATACAGTGTATAACAATGGAATTTATCCGGGATAAGAGACTATGGAGGCCCTTTGCTGCTACTCATTCATGTGGTACAATACCATCATGCTGGAGAGCAAAAGACACACAGGGAGAAGAGAGAAAACAAAGAGCTCACATCATTTGAAATGGTTATTTCCTTTGTTTCTCTTTTCACAGGGTGTCCTTTGCTCTCCATCATGGCAGTTTTGCACCATGAGGATGACCACCTCAGTGTTCTTACCACACTGTGGTATTGCAGCATTGCTGCACTTTTTTGGGAAATGCCACACTTATAATTATCCCAAGGGCACAAAGAAGGGAAAAAACCTATTACAAAACATACGTACTCATACGTACATTTCCTTATAATATTAGCCAAAATTTAATTGGCTATCGTGTCTTTAGAAAACACCCAATCAGTTGGGTTAACTTTATCAAAACATTTTGACCCACTTTTCTCCCTAATGACCCCCTTTTCGCTTTCTATGGGTCCTGAGGACCCCAGTATAGAAAATCCTGGTAAGAACACTGCCACCTGCAAAGGGCATATCCTGTGTTAGATAACAAAATTGAGCTTTTACTATAGGTCTATGTTTTGCTTCATAGCCTGAGAAAACAGCCAGCATGTTGCGACGCCACTGAAATGATGTCTTAGAAATGGGTACAGAAACTCTTCTTCTGATCGGTTCTGCTGCATGAAAATTTGCTCCAACTAATCAGAAGCACTACCCAGATCTGGGTAGTGATGCATCATCAGTATGAAATTTCTGCGCTTGTTTCTCTGACTTAATTTTGAGGTAAACCAGAGGTGGCATCACAAAATGTCGGCAGATTCTCAGGCCATTTGCGTCATTGTCTCATATAATAAGTTTTCTCCCAAACCTTGTATAGCCAAAAGTAGTTGAAAGAGTTGCTTGTGAGGATCTGCCTTGGAAAACATTTCAGGGCTCAACAAACATGTTCTACAAAAGAAAAGCAATGATCATGGTAAAAAATTGAGCTTATTTCCCAATATCTGAGGTATTATGTAACAATGTTTGCAGCCATAGCTAATTAATTTATGTGAAACAATATTAAAATAATAATACTAGACAGCTACCAGCCTTAATGTGTTGGGGAGGTTTGTTTGCCTTGATGCTCCTGGAAGCTACCCTGTATACCTTTTGGGGACCTTGGTCCCTGCTAGCTTCAACTGTGCTAAGCAGGTTTTAGGTGAAAGACCAGACAAATATCGCTGCCCTGTTAGCTCAATAAATTATTGGATAAGTGCCGGTCTGCTGAGTGGGAGGTCATGGGTCCAAACCCTGGCCAGACCTACACTCAGGATCTTAAAGAGTCTGAGGAGTGACTGAGGAGAATGTGCTACCTTGGTTGTGACATTAGTCCTCTCAGATAAAGACGAAAAACCGTAGGCCCTGTCTCACAGCTCTTTCACTGTTCTGATTCTTGTGGGACATAAAAGAACCCACACTGTTGTTTGTAAAGCATAGGGGGCGTAGACCACGGTGGTGTGGTACAACCGTTAAATGGGGTGGGTGGGAAATGAAGGGGTTGATATCAATTGGGACTGTGTCCTGTGTCACTGTGTTGAGTCACCGTGGCCAATTCAATAAAGAACTTGAAGAATATTGCAATGCCTGGCCTTCCAGGCTGGTGTTTCATAATCATCATCATCATCATCATCATCATGTCTCATCGCACCAGTACACATGTAAGGCCTCCATGCTGTCTAACAACACTTTCTGTCTTGTGCAACCACTTTGGCTACTTCCCAGCTCTTCAACCCCACTTTGTTTCACTCTTTCTCAACTGTCTGTCACTTGGGGGCTACTGTTTAAGATATCATTTGGCGGAGACTATAACTGTTGAGGCCTTGAGTGTAAAAGATCCCAATGAGGTGTGGTAGGTAGGTAGACCAGTCAGTATGAAAAAATGACAACATGAACCAAAAAAGTACCATCTGGTAAGGGCTAATTATACTCAGCTTGGTGAGATGTGAAATAAAACAAGACTGACAGTCACAAAGATAATAGATAAAAAACAAGGTACAGCCAAACTCTTTTAGATCACCTTTGATTTCTCTGGATATGAGATTTAAATCTGTTCTAAGTTAGCTTAGTTAGCTTCAGCTCTCAATTCAGTATAATAATTGTAAAACATACTAAAAGAACCTGGTGAATTTTACACGGCTGTACAGACATATAAAATTTCTCATTGTTTTTGTTTTTCCAAGCAGCCATGTATCATATAAGGACCAATGAAATACCATCAACCATTTCACTTAAATATTTTTTTGCTGCAAAAGGCACAATTATTTATCATGTAGCCATAACAACAGTGATCTTTTCACGTGAAAGATCACCTGGTATTTTATTGGTGGTTAAATAATAAAATAAATTCCTCACCCTGCATATGAAAGTGCCAGTGTTTTTGCTCTTTCTGCCATTTCCAGGAGAGTCAAATCTTTTACCTTTGGATGTAAAATAATAAAACAATAACAATTGACCTTTTACTACACTGTACATCACTCTCATCTGACATCACTGTTTGTCACAGTTATTACCAAAAACCAAATTGATGAACTCAAAGAGCCAAACACTGTCTATTGTAATGTCCATGACATATTATTATGATAAATGGACAATTTACAATGTAAGTGTGCTTGATGATATGGTTGACTTGTCTTTTCAAATAATTATAGGAGCAGTACTTCTGGGAAACTTAAGCTCTTGCTGCACTGAGCTAGAACCAAACAAACAAATGTAACAAAGGGAACTTTGACAATAATAATAAGCTTCAAACCTTCCATTTTGAGCATTCATCAAAGGCTCGTCTATAGCATGAAGCAAGGTATTTTACAATAGCCACTTCGCCTGCTTCAATCTCGGCAGTGAGTGATGTCAAGCGGGCACCACCAGTAATCATGACATGGTTCCGTGGATGAGACATTGACAGTCTCTCCATGATAGCCTGATGAAAACAAAAATAAATGTACTTTAATAGCCTCACAATGGACATAAAATCTATCCCAGAAAAATAATTATCAAGCATTTTTTTGAAAACAACCTCCCCCTAGCCATGATCCCCAATCCAATGTAATAGGAAAGTGCCTTGGTGATGTTGCCTCGCCCTTCACAATCAATATATGGAACCATGCTAACATGGTGTACTTACAGATGTAACATAACATCTATATCAAGAGCTTTCAATTGGTGAGATTTACTATGCCTTCATATTTATGTATAGAAATCTCAACTACCGCATGCATTGTTTCCTAACAATAGGCTATTGTTGAAGAAAATTACTCAAAATAAACAACTGTAACTGTTATCTTACTGTAATAAGGACTTCGCAAATTTGGAACCAGAATGCTAACAGTTCTTGTAAACTTATCTTAGCCCTCTCATAAAACAGTAGCTGTTGCTTTCAAGACTAGGGGCATTGTTTTCACTGTTGAAAGGTTTACAAGCCTGTCAAGTACAATGTACGGTACATGTAAGATGTGATTTTAACCACATTTACAGGTGATAAAACCTTGAAGATTCAAAAGTCACTTTGGAGGTTTATGATTGTTTTGTGAGCAGAAAATATAACCACACACCTCATCGATGTTGATCCACTGAAGGACTGAAACTTCACCATCAGAAGCAGTGTTCCTCAGATATACACACCTCTTTGGTAAACCACCATACTGTCTTTTCCCTATCCTATCACTATCTAAAAATAATCAAGAATTACAATGTCAAAGGTGGCCATTACTAAGTATTACCATTAATGTTTCAGTTTAATACAAATTAATTATTTTTATAAAATTTGTATCATCCTACGACCAGTTTTTTGAAAAGTACATCACCCTATCCGGCTGATAATATTAATCTCTGTCCAGTGGATAATGCAATCATAATGGTTTCCCTGATATTTATCCGCTGGATAGTGATTTATCCCATGGATAGCATTATCCAACATTGAATATCCAGGGCCTGCATCCTTCACAGTGATTAGCCTTAAAATCACCACTTATAGAAAAAAATCTCCCCTTCTCTATCAATATTCCTTTTGATAGGAGTCATTAGGTGACGTTACACTATTGAAATTATTTCTTAGAAGATCAAATCATAAATTATCATCATTTATTAACTAACTTGATTGACTTTTGGTATTACCAGACAGGATTTTATCAGCAGTTTGAGGCTTGAATACTGACTTAAACCATTATTCAGCTTTCATAGTCATACAAGTAGTCAGACATCTGACTATGAAGAGAAGAATTGGATCGAAGGAGCAAAATTTTTCTTCCAAAATCAGGGGCGGATCCAGCATTTTTTTTAGGGAGTGGGTGCACTCGTCTCTTGCTCTACTTCAACACCAATAAACCACATAGTTTTTTTTTTGCAGAATACCAGTTGTATTAGAAAACCGCAGGTCATCTCAGGGGGGGGAGGTGAACTCTTCTTGTTTCTCTCCCAACAGCCAAAAAACACATTTGTTTTTTTTTTGAAAAAAACAATTTTTAAAAGAAAACCCCAGGGCACCCGGGGGGGGGGGGGGGGTTCGCACCCCCTGCACCCTCCCCCTAGATCCGCCCCTGAAAATGTTCTGCTCAAAGAATGCATTCTGCTTCTAATGAAGTTTAGTGTAGAAGGAAATTCTTTGGACAGATATTAATTAAATATCTAAAAATAATAGTTAGTTATATGCCACTTATTAACCAAGAATGAGGTCATTACAGGGAAATTGAGTTGTATACTTGAGCCCATGATACAGTCATGTGACACTGGTCGCCAGATACCCTTTCTGACAGCTGTCAATTGACCATTAAACATGGATGTCTACAAGGATGTCCACTACCAAGTTGAACACAGATGCATATCATAATATGCCTTGGACACCTAGCTAGTAATGCCCGGTCAATACAAGAAAATAATGCTAATCAGAGCGCACCTAATATTGGAGCCATATAATACATAGAGGATATTAATTATTACACGGTGGCGCGAAGATATGAATTTTATTTTCGAGTGGCAAAACATTATTTGATTTTGTGTTGTTATTGTCATAATTATTACCATTATCTACTGTGATGAGAAATACACGCTGAAGTAGATCATTCAAGATCCAAGCTCTTTCTTTCTCATCAATTACGATATCTGCAGTAGTGGTGTGTCCTGCCTCATTTTTAGATTCAATTTCTTGGACGTCTCTTAGCAGCACTGATATTGGTTGTATCTTTGAGACTGTGTTTTCCTTTGGACTATGGACAGCAATGACTTCACCATGCTGCTTTCTGTACTCTTCAGCTTTTTCAACCGATGGAAAGAGAGCAGCAAATGGATTTTGAGCAACTTCTGATGGGTTTTTGTTTTTGTCATCCATGACTGTTGTGGCTAGGTATCAATGCAACTATCTGAAAAAAAAAATGAAAAATTGATTTAATAACAATCTCTGGATTTTAAAATAAAAAACTGATACCATAAATTCCCGGGCGGGGGGTGTACTGCCATATGTGGGCTATATAGGTATGTGCCACTGTGAAGGGTATGGTTTTCAAGCAGTTTACTCGAGGATAGGTTATATAAATCAGAGAGTTTGGTTCTAGAATAGGATGAACATTTTCCACGAAACTGATCAATTAATTGGAGATTTTAGTCTAGACTAGAGAAACCGGGAATTGCCACTCAAAAAAAATCAAATCGACAAGTTTAAATTTGTGCAACTCAGCCTAAAAGCTGCTATAGGATAGGGGGTGGGGGAGGGGGGGGGATTTGGGGAGTTTAGTCTGGTGTAGGGTGGGAGAATTCAGCTGAAGTAGCTCTGGTATAGGCTAAGGGTTCCATGGTCCCAGTGAAACATCTCCAACCAAAAAGTCCTAAAGTACCCCCCCCCCCCCCCCCCCCCCCCCATTTACAGACAACGACGGTCTACGAGAGCTGGATGTGATGGGGGCTCAGACGGGTGCTCTCCCGCTTTTTGTGTGGGTGAGGGGGGGAGAATTCAGCTGAAGTTGCCCTTGTATAGGGTAAGGGTTCCCTGGGCCCAGTGAAACATCCCCAAACAAAAAGTCCCAAAAGACCCCCCCCCCCCCCCCCCCCGCGTAAACTGCTGCTTATAAACCTTCTTCCCGGTTATGGCCCATATACCTGCAAAAAAAAATGTGATAAGCCCCAGAGCAACTCTAAGTAAAGAAAAGTAGAAAACTTTGTCTGATCCAAAGCACCAACTATCTTTTTCCAGAAAAACTTCTATCTGGAGTGGAGTGTCCGGGGGGTCTGCTATTTTGTGTTCCCCTCCCCCATCATAACGGCTGTACACTCGAAATGTGTTACCGAGAACCGGCAAGAGACGAAAAAAAAAACAAGAACAAAATGTAAAACAATACTGTGTATCAGCCAACAATAGATAAATAACAAAGAAAAGAACTAACCATATTCCACACGGACGTAAACACACTACGTACTCAAGACAACAGTACTTTGAAAAAAAGGCAAATATACAAAGTTTTGATATGCATAAGCTTATATAAACAAAGGAACGTTCTCTTTCTTACCTTTGATAAGTTCAATCACTTGTCAACATCGTTTCAAACCCATTGATACTCCTTTTGAGTTAAAAACCGGTAAAAACTCGAAGAAATTTTCTCACAGACGCCACAAAGTACGATGCATCGTCATTGCAGTCAGCAGTCTACTACCGTTAGAAGACTGGGACTTTTCGATAATTGATTGGTATGTACATGCAGTATGCACTGGTCTTTTGTTTATGCGCTAGCCAAATAATCGCAGCTTCAGAAGGACATTTTGAGAAATGCTGAGTAGAACGTAAAGGGATACTGTCGTGCAGATGTTTTGGAAAAAACTGTCTCCTTTTTGCAGTAAGAAATGATAACTCTCTCAAAGAAGATTAAGGAAGAAAGGGACAAGAAGGAGAAGGTGAAAAGTACTTCTGGGAGTCCCAAAATCTCGAGAATATCCGTTCGAGATAAGTTACTTGTCAAAGGTATGCTCATATACTTGCATAAGACATAGATCGTTGTTGTAACTGAACCTAATTTATGAGTTCAAAAAGCTTATATGTCCAGGTTACTACCTAGCGTTGGAAGCCTAGATTTTTATTGCAGTTTTTATGTTTTGTCTATTTTTTGCTAGTTTATGCTCGTACTCAATACGCCCCGGTACTTGTTTTTGTTTTTCCGCTTTTAGAAGTGACAGAACTGGAGGAAAATGCGCTTGGTAAGAGCTAAATATGAGCCTTATCTGCTGTAATATCGATGCAAGTTTGGGACCGTTATACATTTCTGGTAAACTGCCCACCTACCCCTCCCCCAAGCCAACATTTTGTCCTAAGTGAGAAGTGAGTATTGATGTAGGTTTAGGGGATAGGTAGGTGGACAGTTCCCAGAAATGTATAATGCCTACAATCTTGTAAGAGAACGGTCCTTGTAACTAAATATGCATACATTTTGTGATGTTTATAATTAAATAAACCGCTTAGACAGTTTTTTGTTTGACATTCTCCCCTTGGTTGGGATTTTTATCAATGCATAGGTAATAACAAGCTTACTTATAACTCTTGAACAATGAAGACTTGAGAATCTCAGAAAATATACTGTTCAGATTCCTTGTGGTCTGCCAAGTCCTTAGAGAATTGTATTAAGCATACTTGTATGTGCCCCGCTCCCCACCCTGAAGAGTGGGGTGGGACAGCTCCAAAGCACCTAAAGATACCACATTTACTCAAATGAGTACCATCCTCGAATAAGCAACACGTTTGGGACAACAGAGTTAATAAATTTTCTGTATGAACAATAGAAAACTTGAGCCTTGTAATGTATAAGGGAAAGATTTTGTGATAGTTTGAAAATTGTTTTTCGTGTCTACAGAAAGTTGATCATGTGAACAACTATTGCAAACGGCCTATTAGCAAGCATGGTACATCTGAACCTTGATTATAACAAAACCTTGTTACAGCAGACAAATTTGGGCAGTCCCTTGACCCTTTGTTATTGAGATTCCACTGTGCAAGTGCAAGTGCAAGTGAAGCCCTGGTGGCAGCACTTGGGTTTATAGTGTACATGAGATTGTGTGAATCTGGACAATAAAAAAAATAAAAAATATGATCGTCTGCCACATTGGAATGTTGGTTCCCTCCCTAATGCTCAGCAAGGTTTTCCTCTTTACTTCTGCTTGCCTCTCTCCTCAAAAACCAACACTTCAAAATTCCAATTCGATCTGGAATCAACACACAGACACATCTAAATAAGTTCTTAAGAACTCATACATTGTAAGTGCTCTATGTGCAAATGAATTACAATAATTACTGCTATTTACAGGTGTTTCACTTTATGCGTTGTCTTTTGCCTGTCTTTGTGTTTGCATGAATCACATATGTAAGTCAGTTCTCAGTTTGGTGATCTTATCATTTTTAGTCTCACTTCTCTTTTTATTACAGAATCTTGCAAAGTTGAGTTTAAGGACCCAAATGTTCTTCATGAATTCACTCTCACCATAACTCCAGGTAAGAAAGTAGACCTTTTTCCTTCATTTTTTGTTCAGACGTATTGTACACTTTACCTTATTCATCAATTTTTATTTTCTTAATTTGAAGGAGAGGGCTACTGGAAGGATGGGATTTTTATCTTTCATGTCCTTATACCAGAGGATTATAACATAAAGGTCAGCAAAAAGTGTTAATACTTTTATTATTAAAGTTGGCGTACATGTATGTGTTTATCAGTTTTTTCTACAAGCTGTTCCTTATTATGTTTTTTTCTAGTGTATAAGATTATCTTGTGAAGGTTCAGTTATTTCCGTACTTCAATTTTTATTAGGATCCCTTCGGCACAGCTTAAACAAAAATTAGGTTTGTTGTCTCTGTCCAAAAAAAGAGAAAATGGTGGACACATGACCCACAATGCGAGATAGAAGTGATTATATATTCAGCATGCAAAAGTATGATATTAGGGCCGTTTATACGAGAGAAAATAAGCCGTGGCTTACTATAGCCGCGGCTTACATAAGACGTGAACACCCCGTATAAATGGTACAAAATCTATGTTCACGGCTTATTCAACCCAAGGCCAGCTCAGGCCGCGGCTTATCCTGGCCGAGGGGTTTTGGGATGGGCTTATGCAAGCCGCGGCTTACCTTGGACGTGAAAGCGTTCATATAAATGCACTCAAACGTTGTCCGCGGCTTGCTGAAGCCATGAACGACTGCTGCACATGCTCTGTTTTCAATTATATCCCAGACCTTAACGGCCAAGAGACGCGCGTTGCAATGGTGGGAAAATGAGTTTTGTTTACATTTACACCGTGGAAAATGGTGGATAGAGATTCATGTAAAAAAAGAAATGTGTGGGGTCCCCCAAAAGAAAAACAAATCCTGCTCATATGCAGCGAGCTTGAGATTGCGGGGCAGCTCGATGTCTGTGCTACCTCGCCAAGCGTAAGTTTGCCGATTTTGATTTTAAATCTACGCTTATCAAAAGCACAACCTGGCCGCGAACTAAGCCGTGAACCATTTATACAAGCGGTTCGCGTCTAATATAAGCCGTACTCGTATAAATGGTTCCTTTCACATCTTATATGAGCCTCAGCCAGAGTAAGCCGCTGCTTATTTTCTCTCGTATAAACGGCCCTAATATCTCTTCCACAAGATAGAAAGAAAGGTGCAAATGAGTCAGACTACTGATGTATGACCAATGATGTCTAGATTTTGAGATCAAACCAAAAGTTTCTAAGACCAACTATTTGCCTCTCCCCCACCCCATAGCCTATTAAGCTATGGACTTGTGGTATGCTTCTTATAATTCATTATTATTCTGATGATGAACTTCTGTAGCATCCTATCCTGGGTAGGGATAAGCGGGGAGGGGGGAGGGGGGACATTTTTTTTCTTGAATTCAATCTGGTTGACCAAAAATTGATGCTTTGATTAATTTTTTTTCAGCCACCACATGTCTGGTGTGAAACAAAAATTTGGCATCCAAATATAAGTGAGAATGGTGAAGTGTGTTTAAGGTATGGTCAAATGTGGTTTTGAATGCTCTGACCCTCTTCACTTAGATTTAATGCTTCTTTAGGTTTTCAATTCCTATCCCAAACTTAATAAGAGGTTGAAATGCATTCCATGTGACATGTTGTTCCAAAAAGCTCATGGATTTGATTATATAATAATTATTAATAAACCTATTATTATTTTGACCATTTGTTGCCAACTGTAGGTGTATTAAATTATTGATACAGAAGTAATTAATTGAAAGTAATTGCAATCATATTATAATCTCCTGGTTGATATTTCACATGCATCGCATGTATGTAGCCAGCATTCATTTGGACTTTCACTAGGAATGAATGGAATGCACAGAACCCAATTTGATCACAAGCGTCTCGACCTTCCACCCTTCGTAATCTGATCACACATGTTTTGACCATCTGTCACTCGAAACTTAGACAAAGCACAGCAATGGAGCAAAAGCATTTGGATCTTTGATCGTTGTCACCCACACTCCCTAATCTTTGGTTATTACTAGTGTTTCATCTTTTTTTTTTCCGTTCAGTTTGTTGAGGGAACACACACTTGATGGTTCTGGCTGGGCTCCAACTAGAAAATTAAAGGTACAAAGTTAATAATTTTCTTATAAAGCCTCAAAAGTGATCAACACCAATTTTCTCTGGACAATATCAATACAGAATTACTAAAGATAAAAGGTTATGGGAATTAATAAAATTATTCATAAAGAGAGAATGCATGGATCTTTTATCAAATTCTTCTTCAATAATTCCTTAAGGAAATGTATATGTATTCCAGTCTAAAGGTCTATACTGATATTTTTTTTTAAGGTCATTTGGTGATCACCATAGTACACTGTATGTTAGTATGTTCGTATGTGACAATTTTATTCATGGGGTTTACAGTACATTAGTTGCTTTGTACGGCACTTGTGCACTTAAAAAATAGTACCAACATCTTACCTTAGGCAACGACTGCAACCTGGGCCCTGAAAATTAGCACGTTAAGTCCCCTTGCTAACACCAACAACAACAAAACCCCAGTAGTCCTGCCTTAAGATAACATCACAGTGCAAGATTTCACATCAATAGTGTTATCAGCAGTAGTTTTTCTTGTGAATTATTTTAGACTTTGTTCTTTTTACCTTATTGTTGTAAATTATTATTATTTCCCATAGGATATTGTCTGGGGACTGAATTCTTTATTTACTGTAAGTGCTTTTCAGTGTTATTCTAGTCTTTACTAATAAACAAGCTTGTTCCCAAGGGTTCTCTCCCAGGGTTTTCATTAAAATTTCTAGGAGAAGGAGAAAGGTGTAACATTACAGGAGAATATTTTAGCACAAACAGCTGCACAACATTGCGTGAAAGGGGTGGGGGAGAGAATTTAGTTTTATTTTCCCCTTTTTAAGTTGGCAAAATGTCAGAGAGGCTCTTTAGGGAGGGCAAAATGTCTCAACTAATTTTGTGGCTGATAGTAGGTAAGTGATCTCCAGCCAGGGGTAAAATTACTTGGTAGATTGCTGCAAGATCATGCCAGGGGTAACCCTGCAAAATATCATAAGCAACTACTTATAAGTGCCCCCACCCCCTCCCAAAAAAAAAACACTAACTCCCATGGGTATAGGCCCATCTATCTGTTCACAGAAAAATACATTTGATTTTTATTCCCCACTAATTTTCTTTGTTTGATTGATATTCAGCACTCTCACAACTCCATACTACTTCAAACAGAAAGTTAAGAAAAATTATTGCAAAACAAACACTACCACTTTATTATGTGACTTTATAAACCTATAACTACAGTGTATCTTGTGAAGATGTTCCATAAAAGGCGTTCATATTCATGTTGTTTGTTTGATTTTGTACCAGTTAGTATTGAAAAGAATTTTACCATGTTTTACAGCTTAAGCAAAAACCAGTCACTGAAAAATGTCTTTCCATCAATTGTGTTCGATGTATAGGCTCATTTAAAACCCTGTTGCAAAGTTATATAAGCAGAGATGTACAGTACAGTAGTAGCTTTCCTCTTAACATGTTTTATGCTACCAGAACCTGAAATAAAGCCCCAGCTTTGTGGGCTCCCCAGCCGTAACAGGAGTTTAACAGTGAATAGAGGCCCTGCCAGGGTAAATTCCGACAAGCGACATGGCCCAAAAAGTAGTGACAGCACGTAAAATGAAATCGCGACAAGAGACAACCTCCCTTGGCCAAATTGTGACAGTGATGGCAAAGCCGACATTAAGTGACAAGCATTTATAAACACCGACACAACATTTTAAAATTCAGACGGGTAACATGGGACCTCCCCCCCTGGCAGGGCCTCTGAATGCTTTCATTGTACTTTTCCCAAATGGATCCCCCCCCCCCTCACTAACGTTGGGAATTGCTTGTTACTTTGTATTTTGAAACCAGGACTTGTTAAACTTTGATGATCCACTAAATGTTGAGGCGTCAGAGTTGTTTTTCAAAAATAAGGTAAGAGCTCCTATTGCTATTTCTTTCAGAATGCTCTTTTTACATTTTGATTGCTTGGCTAATGCCCACCAACTTGTAAGTCTTCAGATTGAAAACTTCAAAATTTCATGCCAAATCTTTCCATCAGAGTGTGATTAACAAACTCATACCTGGTAAAAAAATTTGGGCTGACACATTTTCAAAAAATTCATACGTCCAGTTTAAGTAAATTCAAACCATTCCATAAAAAGAAAACGACATGTGGACAATCATACCTCCCCAAAAATCTATGATTTATTAACCCTCCAAGTCAAAAGAATTAGATGTACCCACATTAACTACTAACAACACCAGTACAGCCATAGTCAAGATAATTAATGAATTGATCACCTAAGGGAAACTGTTTTAACAAGTTCTCTCAACTAACCTCATAAGAAAATGTATGAAAATCAGTCCATAGAGGTTTGTGATACTGTTGCTCTGATTCCTAGCCAACACAATATCCATACCAAAAATATTATTAACTTCCAACAGGAGTCATTTCGAAGAAGAGTAGAGGACTACATCAGATTGTATGCATCACCCAGGAGATAACAAATGTGCAGGATTAATTAGCAAAATCAACTATTGTGTCTAAATATAGAAAATGACAAGGAGACCGTGTTGTAAACAGACCATAGCCTCAGAGAAGGAAAACTTGAAAGGGTGATGAATTTTGAATCTTTTTCTTTTTCTGAAAGTCCAAGACATACATGCATGGCTGAAGCCAAAATACCAGATGCAGAAACTGCTCAAAAAGATAAACAAAGGTTCACTATTTTGTGAGACCTTCTATACTGTCACCCCTGTAAATACACTTGTAGGTTAAATTTGTACAATATACAAACAAATCGTTACTTTTTGCTAGGTTTTTGTTGTAAGTGAGGAAGATGCAAGGCAAGACTAGGCTTTGATTCTGACTTTACTGACAAGAGTCATTTAATGTGAATAGGACAGTGTACATTGATGATTAGTCAGTCGGTCTGTCATCTAATATGGATGTATCCTAACTACATCACTTTAATTGTACTAAAGTTTCTGGGCAAGAACATGTCTGCTCCTCTGGAAATAAAAAGCCACTAAAGAAAACACATGTTAAATTAGCCAAAAAATAATTGGAAAGCTATTCCTTTTCTTATTCCATATCTTCCCTTAGGAAAGATTATAGAAGAAATATACATTAAAACATGTGTCTCATGTTTAATATAATTTAATTGCAAGTGCTTTGTAAGAAACTACATGATAATAATTTTGTGCAAATAAACCACTCGGGAGATAAAGAAATGTGAGCTAGAAGACTGACCAACATTGAACAACACAGAATTTCTGCCTAATCCATAATATAGTCGCTTCACCGTGGGCACCTTCCAGAGACCCATGGCTGGAGACACATATAATCGCTTGCCACCTCACATGGTCTCAAAGGTTGTAGTATGCACTGGTGTAGTAGCCTGCCACTTGTTCGCGCGCTCTTTTGCATGCGTTTTTGTGGCTTTGCCACTCAGTAGTGCTCCCAACAAATTAAAACCGCCATGCTACGCAGGCTGTGGGTGTAGTAGTTGTAGTATATGTAGCTGTAGTATGCGTGGTGTAAAATAAATCAGCCCTTTGCTGTATTACCAGCCTTGCACTCAGTTTGGTTTTAATTCCCATTTCAAGTGACATCTGGCATTTGCATCTCTACATAAGAGATCCGGCAAGAAAGACCCAGATGGTTTTATTTACGAGTTGAGTGGCCCTCTGCATCCAAGCAGTTCTAGAGAATGTGCAGTATTAGGGTTTAGAAGGGGGCACTCCCTTGTATGGCCTGGACGGGTATGTGCCACTGAACAGGGTATGGTTTTCAGGGTCTTGACTCGTAACAGGTTATATGATTTCACTATTTAGTGTTTTGAACAGGACCAGGTGTCTTCTTGGACAGCGGTCTACAAGATTTTTTCTTGTGTGTGTGGAACGGAATGAATCAGAGTCATGAAATTGGGTGTTTTGTCTTAAACAGGGTCATTGTAGGGAAATGAATGATTCTTGTCTTAACCCTTCAGTTCCCAAGAGTGACCAACATGAATATTCTCCTAACAACATTAGCAGATCATCAAGAGTAAAGGTTATGAGAATTACTTAATTGATTACCAAAGGGAGAATGCTTTGATCTTAAACCAAATTCTCTCTACATTCTTAAAAGAAATGTATGGAGACCAGTCTGGAGAATTTGTACCCTTGGGAATTTAGCGCATATGCAACTGTTTCGTGCTTCTTTGGATAGCCGTCAGAGCTGTACGCATGTAGATTTAGCCAGGGCTAAAAGCGAAGCTCTGGTTAATAATACTTATAAACGAAAAAAAATTAAATCGTGTAATGCTAAACAGGGACGACAATGAAAATGGCTTCAAAACTAATAGATCTAATTAGCAAAAAACAAATTGCACGTGCAGCACACTTTTTCTTCTAATTAGCAAAAATCAGCACGCTTTTTTGTCTTTCCCTTGCATTTGTTTTGCACGACCACAACGCTGTTTTGTACGACTAAAACGTCAAACTTCCTAGTTACAGATTATTTTTAGGGAGGAATTGTCGTATGTGCTTACCCAATGTTTTGTTTCCTGAGTTCATTTTCCCTTTTATTTTTCACTGCCGCTCACTTTCACCTTGCTGGGCGCTCCTTGCCGGGCGCTAGCATTTCTCATTTTCTCACCGCCGCTTTGAATTTCCATGCTTTTCTTCCTACGAAATTCGCCTCCTTTGTTTTTAATAACTCGCTCTAGCTCTTTCGCCGAAAAAGACACGACTTTGTTGTTGTTTTTTCTTTCTGAAAGTCCGGGCGGCCATGTTATTTCCTTCCAAATGAAACATTGAGTTGCATTTGGGTTGCCATACCTGTTGATTGAGTTATTTTACATTGGTATGCCTGTGGTGTTGACGGACGGTCGCTCGCTCGCTCAGTGTACGGTCACGTGATTACCAAATTTTCTGGGATGGGTAGATTACCACATTTTCTTCGCGCTGCGCGTGGAGCTCCGATATGATGTCCAAACTAAAATTAAGGTTGATTTCATGCAACAAACGACTGAACGAAACTCTATAAAAACTGAGCAATATTGTAGGAAGCAGGTCTGAGATTACGTGGAGATTCCGATTGTGTGACCCTCCCATCCCCTCTCAGGCTAGCCTATTTTCTCTTTCGAGATCGTCGAGCGCGCGTAGAGAGAATAAAAACCGCGGGATATTTCTTGACCCTCAAGCGCAAGGAAACGTCTGTGGACAGGCTACTCTCATGCCTTTTTTTTTCGTGATACGACTCAACTGAGTCTTGTCACGAGGGATTGTTTAACTGTTTCTGTTGTGTATCATGCTCAAATTAAGCCGTTTGGCAATCCATGCAACGAAAAAGCGAACAAGCAAGTGTGAAAAAGGTGGGCATAAGTGCAATGAATAAGATGAAAGAGAAGAGTTTACTTATGTAGGTGACAAGCCACTCGAAAGTTTCAACGCGACACAACAAAAAAAACCAACTGAATTCAGTTATCCTGCAACTGGAATAGTCCAGGATCACTCTTTTTAAAGAAGAAGTTACACATTGCATCTTTTTTTTAAACTGCTTTATTCATTAGTCTAAACACAGAAATAGCCTAAAGGCTATCCTGGTTCAACAACTTTTTTTTTTTTTAACTAAAAAGCAAAAAGGAGGTTCGGTTTTGGCGATACTTTTATTCTTTAAATTATCAAACTAGAAACTCATATGGCTATATATTTCATGATTTTACACGCCTTTGAACCAAAAAAAAAACTAAGACCTCAGGGTAAATCAGTCCAGTTAGCGTTTTCGAGGTAACCTGACGTAACTTCCACGGCTGCAAAACAAAATCAGTAGAACTCACTTTTAGTTGAGTACATTTTAAGTAATTTGCGATGACATCTGGATTAACACATTGACACTTACGGGTCCATCGTCCGTGAAAATATTGGAAAAACTAGCAACGTTTCAAAAAATAGGCCAACGAAGACGACAACGACAACGAAGACGGTGGCGAAAACGTCTCTTAAAATGTGAATTCACGCTGTTTCAAAATTCATCGCTCTTATTCCATGTCGTTCAATTTGTCCCATGTTGGTAGATTTTTCTGGAGTTGAATTCTAAAGGCTTTATCAGAGTTTAAAAAGGCCGAATTAGAAATGATCGTTGGCTTACGTTAACGTCCTCCGAAAAACGTGATAATTAGGCAGTTTCACGTCGTGGTCGTGCAACGACGTCAAAGAAATGTACAAAAAAGCGTGATCCAAGTGAAAAATTGTTGTTTTGTCAATCCAAACCTATTGCTTTTTTGTCGTTCTCATTGCTGCGTCGTCGTCCTTGGTTAAGCTCCCTATGTAAGTTTGTGAACAGCTTTTGTAGCTTTTGAACATTTTACTGTGTACGTTACCCTCCTCACCTCTCCAAGGGGGAGGTGGTACTCCCTGTTATGGACCTTACGATCCGACAACGGTGACATCCATGAAAACGTCGCTGAAAAATAGACTCCGCATCTAGACCGTTTCGCAATTATCCCAAGTCGTCCAGTTACTTAAAAGAGGGGAATTTATGTTGGAGCTGAAGAGAGGGGGTCACGCCCGAGTTCAGAAAGAGATGGTAGAATTTATCGCCGTGCCGCTCCCGTCCTCAAAAACTTAAAATTTGGCCATTTCACGTTGTAAACGTGCAGGGACGGTAAAGGAATGTACAAAAAAGCGTGATGCAGGAGCAAAGTTGTAGTTTGCTTACTAAACCTATTGGTTTTTGAAGCTGCCGTTGCCGTCTCCGTTGTAGTTTCGTAAGGTCCCTTATGGCCTATACTGGGAGGCTCCGCCTGAAGGCGATACCTTTCCAGGCTTCAGGTATATGAAAGGGTAGGGATTTCACTTATTGAAGTCAGGCTCCTATTGAAGTATATGAAAGGGTAGGAAAATCCGTCATTTCGGTCTGTAAAAGGACCTAAAATGGCCAACAGAGGCATTTTATGGCTGTGAAAAAGGAAAGAAAATTTCCTGGTTTGGTGATTTATTCAGATTTAAAAGACGATGCATTTTACAGCAGTTTGAAGGGATGCAGCGTTATAAACTAGTATGTGAAAGGGGTACAATTTGTCAATAGAAGGTATACGCCAAAAAAAAGGGGTAGCTTTTCTGCGAAAAATGGTATAAAACTTTGCTAAGAGCTTCACGGGCCTCAAACAAGAATAAAAACAAGAAAGATGTTAACCCTGGGCTGTGGAAAGACAAAAAGACTGAGCATCAGGTGAATCTACACGATGCATATGAATCCTTACCTCAGTAACCACAGTAACGCAGGTTGCAACGAGGTGGTTTTGGCAAAAGGTAGACATAGAAACCAGTACAGTTGCGAGCCAGGATGAAATTAGAATATTGACAGCTGTAGTCGGGCCCATGGTAACACACTTTGCGGGCGACAGCTCCTTCGGCCACTGTGGGTTGATCACCGATCATCCATCCTGGTGCGTCGGTACCGCAATGCTTTCTCTCCACGGAAAATATAGGTATCTGAGACCCTGCGGCTCTTGTGATCCTATACCAGTTGTCAGCCAGAGTGTTGTCACATTTTACAACTCCAGTGTAGCTCACCGAACGGTCATGCTCAGTCAGAGTTTTGTATACGCCACTGTTGCATTCTAAGATAACAAATAAGAAATCACTCTTCAATATCGTCACTCCTCAAGTCCATCAAAGACTCTAAACCAGAAATTCGCACGGTTTTAGGCGACTTTAACAAATCAGAGAAGATGCAGATTATTCTATCAGTCATACGAAGAGAGAATAAGAAGAAAGAAAGGAAATTTTAGGGCGTTGGACTGGATATGTGAATTTCACTAAAGTTATTTTTAGAGGTTCTACTTAAACGGAAGTCTAATTTCTGAGACGTCCGCTCATTTTAATCGATTGTTTGAAATGTCATTAAGTCCACTCCCGACTTCCTCAAAGCAAGCAGTGCATAATATTGTAATGACGACTGTTCAATTCTCTCTTAAAAACATTGCGGACATCTCCGGAAACCAACTTCCAATCAATTTCTAGCGTTTTAATAGTCTAAAAATAAGTTTGGTAAAATTTACATATCCCAAGAGCTTTACTGGGCGTTTCCCCTGTATCTCATTATTCTCCCTTATCATAGCTAGAATCTTTTTTTCATTTAGCTAGTGAGCCAATGTTTTGACAATGAGTTTCGAGTTGACTGTCTTACCAGTCTGTCTTACGTACTGTCTAAACGCTCGTATCTTTGTAGAAGACACAATTTGGCTTGCGAACATGTCTGGATGAAGAGAGTTTGATATTAAAAAACTAGAGCTTTGAAGAGGCTTGAAGATGAATCTCATTTTAATCCTACACTTTGAAATAAACAGCGTTTAGTTATTTTTGAATCAGTTGAAATAACTGTACAAAGTTATCAAAGTATTCAGCAGTTAATTTTCTCTTACCTGGAATTACTGAAATAAAGAAAAAAGAGAAAAAGAAGAGATTAAAGACTTTCTAGTAAATATTTCCAGTACTGATTAAAAAAAGCCCGTAGCCGTAGACTTTCTAGTAAATATTTCTAGTACTGATTAAAGAAGCCTGTTCCCCCTTTCCTTTCAACAACGAGTAGTCGCTTATTTTCTTCAGACAAAGTATAGCGCACGAAATACACGAACGCGAGTGAAAACCCCTCCGCGCGGCTCGCCTCTCTTCGTACGTGGCGATTTTCTCGCTGTACTTAAGTAAACTCAACAAAAATCAACTTTGTGATTACATTACGGCCTAACCAACTCGGTTAGCAGGGATTCCGGTATCAAGATGAGGTAATACCCGGATAGAATTCACCTCGGCATAGCAAACCAGCCCAGCTCATGTAATCAGCGTCTTAAGCATTTGAAAAAATGGTGCGTCAGACCTGCTTCTCAGGAATTTTTTTTTATGTTGTGGCTGATTACTCCGACTTTAAAAAGTTTGAGTACTCATCCACAACATAAAAAATATTCAAACCGGTGGTATCGTTCAGTTTGTTGCAAAAGAAGTTTACTGTAATATAAGTGCAATTCCATTAAGTACAATGTATAATGTACATTATTTATAGTTAATAGGGAAAATTCTTAGTTGAATGTCCTTTTCACTGCCAGAGTGAATGATGAGGTTTTGCAAGGTGATTCTAACTTTTGAGTCTGTGGATTAAATCCTAAAGTGTGACCATTCAAATGAAAGCTACTGAGCAGTACTTTCCTGTGGTACTGTTTTTTATGCTTCACACTGTTGTTGTGCACTATTGTTGTTGCAAATCGTGTAACTTTGCCCTTAGGCATGAAAATAACCGATGACAATTTCATGGATGCCATTTTCGCAGAACAAGTAGAGGGTGCCCGGTAGATTTTTTGGGACCCGGGATGTCCCTTATTTGAAACTCGGGAATCGGGAATTTAAAGCAAAATCGGCGTGAGATTCGGGATACAAAAATGACCGTCGGGATTACGAGATTGCACGAAATTTTGGGTCGGGATAACGGGATTGAAGAACCCTATTGGTACTAGGGTCTTCCAAGTAAAGTGTCTAAGCATTACCTAGCCCATGGTCTCCGCAGTAGCGTAAGTTACAAGTTGGTGTAGGTGTCAGGTAGTACACGTAGAAAGATCCACAGTTACGAACCAAGATGTCGTTAGACCACTGGCAGCAACCAGAGGACCCATGGTAACAGACTTTGCGTTTCACTCGCCCTTGTCCCACTGTCGGATGACCACCATCCAGCCAGCCTGGCGCATGCGTACCACAGCGATATTTAGCCACACACGTATCAGCCATCCTAACCCCGGCCAAGCCGGTGAACCTATACCAGCCTTTGGTCAGAGTGTTGTCACATTTGTCTTCTTCTTTGTAACTTGCTGCACGGTCATAATCACTCAGTGTTTGGTGGTAAATGCATTCTAAGGAAGAAATAATAATAATTATAATAATTATTAAATAATGATAACTATTATTAATAATAATAATCGAAATGAATTGTTTTTAATTGAAATGAAATTTTTTAAATCCTTTTTTTTTTTGTATGCGAAATGATTTTTATCGAAAGGAATTGTAACTGGTGCTTGATTGAAAAAATAGTTTTTTTTCAAGCAAAATTTACTGTAAATAGAATTTTATAGTTAGCTTTGTTATAAATGAAAGATTATTAATATTATTATTATTCGGAAAAAGGATCTCTGGCTATTACAAGAAATGCACCCTTTCTCCTGGCGATGCGCGGCTAAGGACAATTGAATAATTGATTGATTGATTGCATTGATTGATTGATTGATTGAAGTATTGATTGATTGATTGATTGATTGATTGATTGATTGATTGATTGACTGATTACTTATATAACTGATTGATACTTGCGGTTCGATCTGGCATAGTGATGTTTCGTCATGATTTTGTTAGTTAATTCTCTTGCAACTTCCATGACTACTCTATGTATATCAAATTTAGTCTAACGATGAAGATAAATTTTTATTACACTCAGAAGTATCACTTCAAAATGGTATATTGGTGTTTGAACAGCAACTATCTTCAAAACCATCTTTTTTTTTTTTTCGAGCGATGTTGGGAAACTATGGTTCAAGAAGGTTAAAATCACTGTGAGAGCAAGACATGAGGATTTATTTACCAAACAATGGAATAGCCTCTGACTGGAGTCCATGGGCCCCTGCTTCTGTAGAAGTGAGAAAAAAATAGAAATAATGCGGTTAATATAAGTAAATTATAGTACAACATGAGGGTTCAGTAATAAGCAGCAAGTGGTAAAGGCTTTATTGGAACAAAGTATGGCATAATTAAAAATGTTTAAATAAATAAATGATGGATCGAACAAACCCTTGCCTTTTTTGAATAAATCTTCAATGCGCATCTTGCTCTGCCATCCGAAGTTAGTTTCATCCCCATTTCCTTAAACCTTGTCCACTTTAAAGGTTTACTTTGTTAAAAAACTTTGCATTGTAAAAGTTTAAGCGAAGAAGAGAGTTGAAGACGCGCGTGTTCTACTTAAACACGAGAACCGAGAGAAAAATAAAGACTCTAGCTAGCCAAATATTCAATGCTAATGACAGTTCGATGGATGAAAGGTACATGAAATACGTATGTATAGTATACAGAGCAAAAGAAATGAACAAACCGCAAAAAGTATATGATATATTCTTTCTTTTTTAGAATATAATTTAAGAATAATACCAGAATATCAGCCTAAAATCGGCGGAAAAATTAGAATATTCTGCTTGGGCTGGAAAAACAACATGCTTATATATAACTAAAAGGAATGTATATAAGGTTTACAGCCAACATTACACTCGGTTACCAACAGGAATTACTGAAACCGCTCGAGATAGCTAGTAAATTGAACAACAACAGCAACAACAAGATGAATTAAAGATTTTCAATTTTTTTTTTCTGATGACATATTCGTAAATTTCATGCTTCTTAATCTGGAGGTCCATGTTGTAAGGTTCGACCCCGGGGTTCGACCATTCAAAGTCAATCTGCTAACAAGTTTTTTCCTAGTTGCCGTGGACTATATTCAGTTTTCTTTAGCCGTGTTTTTTTACACTTCCTTTAATTTGCGTTGCGTATGATTTCTTTTTCTTTTCTTTTACAGGTTTTGAATTCCTTTGAAAATTGTCCTGAAAAGAAGTGATGAAATTCTTAGACCAGCCACACCCTTTTCTGTGCATTAGAGTTCGAGACTGTTAAAAGAAAACTAGCACCGTGAAAAACAATTACACTCCCAAATAGGTTACAATGTCAGTGTAGAGACACAAGGGACTTTAAGATCCAACGACGCGGACGGCAACGAGAACGTCAAAAAAACAATTGGTTTAATAAGCAAAACAACAACTTCGCACGTGCATCACGCTTTTTGGTACATTTCTTTCCTGTTTTTGCAGGACTACGCCGTGAAAATGCCTAATTTAGCGTTTTATGGGGGACGTAAACAAGCAACGACGAAATTTTTTTTCGCTTTCTGAGCTTGGATATGGTCCCTTGAAATTCAGCTTCAGGAGGGTTCGCCTACATTTGACAAACTAAAAAGGGAGGAATAATCGCTATTAAGACTGAAGGAACGCAAATTCACTTTTTAAGCGACGTTCTTGTTACCGTGGCGTCGTTAGATCTTAAAGTCCCTAAAATCAAGCTAGCCGGCTAGCATTTTGACGTCTTTCTGAAATATTTGATGTTAACCTTTTTACGTTGGCTGTCAAAGCCTTCAAAATGTTAACACAGTTGAAAAGTTGGATGAAGCAAAAAATCACAAAAAAGCGGAGAAATTTAAAAAGAAGTTTTCTTTTTGTAGATGGAACATGACTTCAAAACTGTGAGCTTTCGGCAGGCTAAAACTACCGCGCTTTTGCAGTGGAAAGAGCGCTAGCTGAAATGACTTTAAAAGTCTAAAACAGTAGCAGAGTGAAAAGATTTTGAAGACATTGCATACTAGCGGTTGTTTCGGTTGAAAACAATTTGAAAACGCTTACCTTTCTTGCAGAGAGCACATTCAAACGACACCCAGATTAGAAGGAAAACTGTGGCTATCAGTTTCATCTTGTCTTCAATTCACTCGACGCTGCGCAGACAGAAATGATGCGGAAACTTTGAGTTTCAGCACCTTTAATTCATCGCAGAGATTGATATTTAACTAGAAATTAGCGAAGCTTTTAGCGAGAAGAGGGTACTCAAAGATATCGTTGCTCCTTTTTTTGGTGTGATAATTCTTTATCTGACATAACTGCTGTGGCACTTTGAAAATGCTGCAGACTATTAAGCTCGAAAATGATTCGAAAGTGCTCAATACAGTGATCTATTCCCGTTTTATTTCGGACTCTGAAAAAGGGGGAGCTTTAAGGTGGAGTCGTTTGCATGAAAAACATTCCTACCTCCGATTTGAAAAAAAATAGATATATATATAAGCAGTAAATCACCATTTTACTGTTTGGCATTTGCTTTTTTTCAATAAAGGATACTTAGGATTTTGTAAAATAACGTGGTATTTTGATACATGCATCGGATATTCCATTGCTTCGTTTGTATCTATTTCCGTAACATTAGATTTTTTTGAAATATTTGGTACTTGGAAAATGCTGCAGATTATTGAGCCCGAAAATTATTAGTACGTGTTTAATATTGTGATCTATGAGGACTGATCGAAAGGTGTGGTTTTTCGTTAGCGTCTAATTTTAGACTATAAAATGGATGGCTTTATTAAGGCGGGGTCTTTTGCTTGCGGTACATTCACACAGGGTATATTTCAGAATAAGACGGTCAGTGTGAAGAGAATCATTACTTATTGTGTATCGTTTAAGCTGTAGAGTTAAAACGTTTTTTTTTTTCTTCTGATTTTGTTCAATAACCTGTGATATATATTTATGCATTTATAGGATATTCCGTGCTTCGTTAGTATCTATTTTCGTATCCATAGCAACTTTGAAATACAGTATTCGTTCCTGCACTGTACTTTACAATTGTTGGTGCAATATAAAATGTTTATACCATTGAATTGGAATCTTCCTGCCACACCTAACGCCTCTGAAATCTGCAGAACAATCACAAAAATAAAAACTGCTGGAGACCATTGAGCTCGAAAATGGTCGGTATGGGACCTCAATATTGTGATCTATAGAGTGATCAACCAGTGTTGGTTTCATCCACGTGAGTTTATTTTACACTTTGGAAACCTTTAAGGCGGGTTCGTTTAGTCAGAATAATATCATTAGTAGGCTCATTCCTTTCTGCGCTCTTGATTTTGGACTTATCTATTGTACCAGCTTACATGTAAACGAGTATATTGTTCCGGCTTCAAACATATAATATCCAGGTGTACATTCAATGATAATATTGCTTAACTTGTTTATGTTTTCCGCATCAAAAAAGAAACAACCCAAAAACAGAAAAAGTTTTACTAGTAAGTCTAATGACAAAGAACAATTCAAAAATAATAAGATCCTTATTTAAGTGCTGAGTTTTTCAGTTATGTTGTTCTTTGCGAATTGCACATTTCTTCCGCTTTTTCTAGACAAATAAATTTTACAGCAAATGGCGCGCAGGAGTCCCGTGATCGCCTCACCCATATCAAGAGAGGAATATTTTATTTTCCGGTACCCATTTTAGACCTGATCTTCGGCATGTTTTCAGACCTTAGAAAACCCATTTTCTTAAAACCATACGAACATCGCACGATATCACGAAACTTGGATCAATGAATGTGACGCATAGCGAAATCCACTACAACCTTGGTCGATTATACTAAATCGTTAACTTGTGATCACTAAATCCATTATATCAAAAAAACACACACCGCAAAATTACACCACAGAATACTGACCCTTTAATGTTCATGATCAGGAAAGACTTAACATTTTACAGTTCAAGAAATACCGTTTGTAAGCTCGCAATCCCACTTTCTAACTGTCATTTTTTTACAAACGAACCTCTTGCTAAAGTAAGCTTGCCTCAAAACCCTTTACATGCGAGCAACATCTATGAATAGCACAGTTTAGACGCAAGCGGCTGTGTAAGCGGCACGGCAATCTTTAGTCTTAGTTCCAGAGGCTTTTTCTTCCTTGTGGCGAGATGTTTCCAGAGCGTTAAGGAGTCGGCCGCAAGATGACACTTCCTCGGCCAAAACCGTGTATGAAACTTCTCTGACACCCGCTTTCAAACGCAGGGTAGACATCCTTGTAGACTTGCTGACAAGTCGAGCTCAAAATTTTTCTCGAGCACGAAGCGCGAGCAGGAGATGTTTTTATGTTTTCTGCTGCAAAGGCTGGCGAAGGAGAGAGGGCTAATAGGATATGAAAAGCAAAGGACTTTGACAAAGTCTATCAGACTTGTGAAGCAGTACTTTTTAAAATTTTTCAGTTGCAATGTTATTTGATTTTATATGAAATATAATAAGGTAG